TGGGCTACCGTGTGTAGCCAGCAGCCAGTGTGAGCGGCCAGCAGCCGCTGTGAGCAGCCGTTCAGAAGCCAGCGACTGATCTGCCTCGCCTCAGAAAAGCGCAATGATGGTGCCAACTTGGGCCAGTGAAGCAACGTCCTCCACAACTAGACTGAAGAACAAAACGACAGCAACTTGTCTGTTCCCCTTCCCCCAATTCCCCAATAAAAATCTTAAAAAAAAAAAAAAAGAAATAGGGTCTTTGCAGAGGTAATTAGTTAAGAATATTGAGATGAGATCCTGGATTTAGGGTGGGCCCTAAATACAATCACTGCGTCCTTAGTAGAAAACACAAACACACCATGTGGAGACAGGGGCAGAGATCAGGGTGATGGGGCTGCAAGCCAAGGAACCCAAGGGTTACCAGCAGCCACCAGAAGCCAGGAGAGAGGCCTGAGATGGATTTTGTCTCAGGACCCCTGGAAGGAAGCAACCCTGCTGTCTTAGTCTGTTCAGGCTGACATAACAGAATAGCCCAGACAGGGTGGCTTATAAACTACAGAAATGTATTTCTCACAGTTCTGGAGGCTGAAGTCTAAGATCAAGGATCTGATAATCTGCGGCTGTCTTCTCACCCTGTCCTCACATGGTGTAAGGGCCTAGGGCACTCTCTGGGGTCCCTTTTATAAGGGCACTAATCCCATTTGTGAGGACTCCACCCTCATGACCTAATCACCTCCCAAAGGCCCACCTCCAGATACCATTATACCGGGATTCGGTTTCAACATATGAATTTTAAGCGGAGACACAAACGTTCAGTCTTTAGCACCTGTCAACACCTTGATTTTGGCCTTTCCGCCTCCACAACTGTGACAGAATAAACTTCTGTTTTCAGCCACCCAGTTTGTGGCAATTTGTTACAGCTGCCCCAGGACACTAACATGGTAAATTAGTGTCCTCCCAGTGCTGGTCTGGCCGTCAGCTAGTGATCTGTGCCTGAGGTCACTGCTCTCCTCTCCGGACCTCAAGGGCACTCTGCTGGCGGAGCATCAGCAGAAAACCTGGCTTCTGCTAAACTTTGTTGAGACCCTGGAATCCAAGCACTCAGCTGCAGCAAAAGGTACTCAGTGAAGAAAACATTGACAAGCATATTTTAAAAATAGCACAGTGACCAGGGAGGAGCTGCCCGGGGCAACACTCTAATTCTTGAGAACGGTACTTGCCAACACCAACACCATCACCTTGGTTCTTTTCATGTGTACATCATTTGTTAAGCAGTAATAAAACTCAACAAGCCCAAATAAACCCCCAAAGCTAATAGCTCTGATCATCGCAGTATTCCTCTAATGCCTAACTGCCAAAATAGAAAAGATCAAAACATGGGACGACATGTGGGAAATGTCCTGACCTCACGGTGATGATGCCCTCCACCTAGCACCATTAGGAAATCACCAACAACTGAGAGAATCTGGAAACAGATTCCCAAATAGATTTAACATCTGACTTCTCTCGATCTCTTCCTTCACCCTCATTCTTTTGCTGGATCCAAATGGGGAAAAAACTTTAGCAACAGCTAAACAGTTCTTCAGCCCATTTTTCTCTTCTTTTTTTTTTTAAGATTTTATTGGGGAGTTAGGGGGAGGAGAACAGCGTTGGGAAATCAGGGAAGGGGAACAGACAGGTAGACAAATTGCAGTTTTTGTTCTTCAGTCTAGTTGTGGAGGACATCGCTTCACTGGCCCATGTTGGTATGATCATTGTGTTCTTGCCGGGTGAGGCCATCGGTCACCGGTCAGTGGTCGGCTGCTCACAGTGGCTCCCAGCAGCTCACACTGGCTGCCAGCCACTCATGTAGTTCATGGCAGCCCACTGCCTACGCCGTCGCCGGCGACCCACAGCAGCCCAGCTCCAGGTTGAGCTGTTGTTCACCATCTTAGCTGTAGAGGGCGAGCGTCACTGGCCTTCAATGTGGGATCCGAACCGCAGCCCTGCTGCTCAGAGCTGGCGTCCCAAGCGAGCTCTTAACCAGCTGAGCCACTCGGCCGGCCCTTCAGCCCATTTTTCCTGTCAAGATACCTCATGCCAACATCTCAGGATGCGCCCTCCCAGGACTCTGGGCGATGCCCCCACAAACCCAAGGTTTCCTTCAGAGCTGTGCAGAGGAGGGACTCAAATATTTCTTGGATTGAGCTTTAGTCTGACCTTGGAAGAGAAACAGAAATCTAATGTTTAATCGCCACCACATGAGCCAGAATCCCTAAGAGATGGAGAGGAAGCATGGAAGTGACATTCAAAAGGATCTCTTGGGCTGGTTTTTTTTTTTTACTATCTATTAGATTGGAGAGACAAGAACATTTGATAAAAGCTGTCCTGGCCACTGTGGGAGGAAAAAAGCATTCCAACTTCACAGCTGAAAGACTGTTGACTGCGCAACCTCTCTGGAAGAACAGTAACCATTTGAATGGACATGCCCTTTGGCCTGGCTACTCCTAGGAAGTCTCTTCATGGGATGTAAACTCCATGAAGTCAGGGAGGCTTCAAAGTGTCTGCACTGCTGGAGCTCCACAAAACATTCACTACATTATTTGCTCATGCTTGAGTCTATTCAGTGCAGCTTGGTTTGTAAAAGAAAATATGATCGACAACTTAAACAGCCATCAGTAAGAGACCGGGTACAAAAATCAACATACCTGTTGGATAAAATCTGATGCAAATTTACCAGTGACTTAAAGGGGGTGGGGGTGGGGTTAAACTGCACCCCCCAAAGGCATAGATTATCTCTGGAAGGAAACAGAAGAAATTATTAACCATGGCGCCTCCAGAGAGGGACAGGATGCAGGCACGGGGAGACCTGCCTGTTTTATTTTATGCCCTTTACAACTGTTTGAATTTTTTTTACCATGTACATCAATTACCTTGTCAAAGTTTATATTTGCTTATGTATATATGTAAAATATATTTGTATATATGTATATATATATACATTTTATATATGCATATATAAAATGTATGTACAGTACATGTATATATGTGTGTATATGCTTCTCTGTGTATAACACCTACATATATGCATACACATACACACACATTTTTTTTTGTTTTTTTTTAAAGTTGCAGAAAAGGAGTTTATTAGAAGTAAAAGTACATTTCAAAGAAGCAGAAGCAGGCGCGAGCAGTAGAGAATGGCTCAAGGGCCATTATTAGAAAAGAAAGTACCCTCCAAAGAGTTTGGAGCGGGCTGAGCAAAGGAAGCTCAAAAGGCCCACACACACATTTTAAACGACTCCTTTTGAATTTGGAGATAAAACTCCAATGGCTTCAGTTTCCATAGGGAAAGCTGAAGGTGACATGACCCTCTGGAACATTCCAGTACCATCTTTGCAGGGAAAGACAGGAGGGGGCAGAAGGTAAGAGGCGCTATGCAAGCCATATATAGGAAATGGCACGTTATTGCTTTTTTAACTACAAAACCACCAGTCTCTTTCTGTGCTGCACACTTGCAAATCATACTCCCGGGAACTTGAAAAATTCCAGAAAAATCATTATCCCCAGCAGCACACCGGGCTCCAGTTTTGCAGTTTAGCTCTAAGCGGCTGTAACATTAGCTCCTTCACTCTGAAGAGTGTTTCCTTACTCTCGGGTTCATTGGCTCCAAGGGCCCAAGGAGCTCCAGAGGATCAGGGAGGGGCCTCAATCTGCAGGAGTGGGAGCCAGAAACCCTGCAATCCCCTCCCAGGTGAGCCTGCCAGCAGCGGCACCCCAGATGTTGAAGCCCTACTCCCCAGCGCCCTCACCCCACCCCCCACCCCAGGGCTCGGAGTCATGCTCCAGCAGCCGTTGCCCTTCCAGCTCAGTCTTTCCAGACCCAGTCAAAGTCATGATGCCTAAGGAACAGCTGCAGGAAGGGTGGGGGTCCCCTCTCCAGCCAATCCCTCAGAGATAAACACAACAGATGGGCACAAAAGGGGGAGGTCCACATAGAAGGGTCAGTAATGCTCAGGGAGGGGTGGGCTCTGTTTCCTCAACTCAAGTCGCTTTAGGTTTGTTGCTGATAAAACGGAGATAATTCAGATTTTGTCTGGGACAGGATTATTCTAAGCCCAAATATCACTATAGACCGTCATAAATGAAAAGATAACATCTGAGTGGGCTTTTCTTTGGAGGGGATGGTGAACCTGAAATAGTGAGGTTTGAAATATTAGGGGACCTGGGGGGAATTAAGGATTATAGAGAGGGGCACAAACACAGGTGTGTGGAAAAAAGTATGAGCCAGTGCACTAAATGGGGTGTGTGTGAGTGAGAAGGTGCTTCTAGGGGTACAGGGCAGGTTGGAGGGTGGAGAGTATCTGAGGGTCCTGATCCAAATTGCTGAAAGGAGGGGCATGCACCTGGATATGAGCAAAGTCAGTGAAGGAATACCAGCAGGCCCAGATGTGAGTGGGAGATCATGAGTTTGGGGTCACAGGACCAGGTGTTGGTGTGGGGGTATAGGCCCAATAGTGGAGGCGGGGTTGGGGGGAGGTGTTTCAGGTGTGAGGTGTCACCCAGAGGACGGCCTCAGGGGATGTGGGGGGTGTCCATGAGCGGGGGCGCGGTGTCAGGTGTGTGAGCGTCACCATCAGTAAAGGCACAGACTCAGGTGTGTAAAGGGGTGCAGACCCAACTTTGCGGGGCGCCGTCCCCACCCCGGAGGTGTGGGGATGTCAGCGAGGCGGACAGTCTCAGGTGTATGGGGGGTGGTCAACGAGAAGGGACGCGGTGTCAGGTGTGCGTGTGCTGACGGTGAGGGGCTCAGATCCGGCTGCGGGAGCCCCTAAAGGAAACCAGACACGAGGTGTGGGGGTCTCGCGGGGTGGGGGTGGGCTTTGACCTCTCCCTGCCCCCGCGACGCTGCTGTCACGCTCCGCCTCGTCCACCAGCGCACCAGGACCTATGACAGGGCCGTGCCTCGCCCTGGCTGGGTCCGAGGGGCACTGACCCCCCTACGCCTGCGCCGCCCCGCGCCCCCCGCGCTCGCTCACCGGCTGGGACGCGTCTCCGTCACCGCCGCCGCCGCTGCCGCCGCCACCGCCTCCAGCCGCCGCGGCCCCGCCTCGCGCACTTCCAGAGCGAGCAGCGGGAGGGGTCCATGGTGCGCTCCGATTGGTTGCACAATGACCAATCAGCGCTGGAGACAGCAAGGATTGGTGAGCACAAAGCAGACAGGCAACCCCTGAAACAAATCGCTGAGGGGTAGAGGCAGGGCTGTTGGCAGAGGCTCTGGGTCCCTGAGGTGGTCCCGCCGGGTGCGAGGTGCTGGGAGGTGCGGGCCTGGAGGCAGGCGATGATTGGAGCACTGGCAGAAGAGAGGCAATCCTGAAGAACCAATTGCTGGGGAAGAAGAGCGGGGCTCGAGGTGGCTGGGGCGACAGGAGCGAGAGAAACGGAGGGCGTAACCAGGAGGGCGACAATGATTGGCTGAGAAGCCGAAGACAGGCAGGCCCGGCGGCCAGTCGCAGGGGCCGTGGGCGGTGCACCCCACCCCAGTTCGAAAGTGCAAGGTGCAGTGTTTGGCCCTGAGCGTGGCGGCCAGAGGTGGCCTCCGACGCCCCGCGCGCGGCCCCCTGAGGCTGTGTCGAGTGAGCTTGTGCCATGACGGCCGAAGGACTCGTGGATAATCCTCCATTCCCACATTCCCCACTACTGCCCTGCAAACGACACAGAGAGGGTGAACTCGCTGGAAGTCACTCAGGCTCGCCCTCTGCAGCTCAGGATTGGTGTGAAGACCAGGAAATAGGTGGAATCCTACTCTCGCGCTTTGTGATTTTCTGGAAGTGTTTGACTTCTCTGAGTTCAAGCTTTCTGTTCCACTATCCGTGACCTCAATTCTGGCCACATCCCTGATAATAAGCCTTTTGTGAATTATAAGCTTTTTGTTAACCCTAACCACAATCTCATGAGTTCAACACGACCATTGCCTCCTTTTACAGAAACCAGAGCACAGAGAGGTCAAGCTCCTTGCCCCCACATCACAAAGCACTTCAGTGGTTGGATCTGGGTGTGAATCTAGAGCAGCCTGCTTTTTGGAAGGGGGATAAGGCAGTGTCAGAGAACAGCCACTGGAGGCCTGGGAGACCTGGGTTTCAATCGCTGTCCAACCACTGACCCACCGTGCAACCTTGGGGACTTTGAGCCTCAGTTTCCTCATGGAACAATGATTCCTACACCTTAATCTTTTGTTTCTGGGGCTTCTCCCCTGGGAGAACTTATATCTCAGCCCTCACTTTGACCTTCTGGTGAAAGTCTTTGCAAGTCATATGAGGCCTGTGAGCCTCAGCTTCTCTGTGAGGTGCAATTCATAGGCTTCTTTGCAGACAGATACCAGCAGCTTAGGGAGCCATCTTGTCATCCAGTGCTCTGCTGTCACTGGCACTTTCCCTGAGGCCACCCCTTTCTTTGACTCCCTTAATCTCCAGGACAGAGAGGGTTACAAATGTTCCCAGATGCTGGCTTTTATTACTCCAGGGGCAGGATGGGGTTGGTAGATATCCAGTTCAGAGCCAGAGTCCTGGGATGGAGCAAGGCTGAGCTAGGCCTTCATAAAGGCTCACATTTCAGGGCTGTACATGCCCCTGCTAAGTGCTTAATCCACTATATCTCAAAGGGCCCCAGTGGAGGAAATGACTGAGGCTCACATCATGGAAGTCACTAGCACAAGACCACCTTCTGGCTCCTGATATTCCCATGATATTCCCACCTCCTCTTCCATACCTCCCAGCTGTGGTTTGCTTCCCTGAAATTTCAAGGCCCTGGTCTCCATTCTGCCCTCCAGAGAGAAGGAGGAAGTGGTGTCTGCTGAACACCTACTGAGCATCAGGTTGTTGCCAGGTCTGAGGCTTCCCAAATACCATCTAACCACGTGGCTTCCAGATGGGGATGACAGTACCCACTTTGCAGATGAGAAAACCCACCACTGTGTGAAAAAATGTTCCTTGCTGGAAGGGCCTGAAGCTGGGTTTGAATCCCTGCTCTTTTTGACCACAGGACCTTCAGCAAGTGACTCAAACTCCCTGCCTCAGTTTCTCCAACTACCTCCCAGGGTTGATGGCAGCATTAATGAAATGAATGGAAGTAAAATACAACTGCAATGGTCTGCAGCGAGTGCTCACTGAGCATTTGATGGGCAAATTGTTCTCTGGGCCTCTGTGTCCCTTTCTGTAAAAGGCGCTTTATGGAATGTGGACATAGACCAACTATGGGTGTGGTTTGCCACCCGAAGAGGGAGATATTAATGCCGGAGAAGTCCCCACCCCAAGGACCTACTTGCCAGGCCCTGGGAGGGAGGCAGCAAACTCCTGGGAAGTTCCACGGTACCCCCAGGGACAGTGCCAACTGAGGCAAGGGTCGGGCAGTGGCCCAGCACCCAGCTGCCTCTCCTGGTGGTGCCAGAAATGCTGGCTGGGCTCTGGCTTTTGTTCATTTGTCAGCAGGCTGGCGCCAGCCAACCTCTCTGTCACCTTCCAACAATGGCAGGCAAAGCCCCTTGGCATCAATAACTGACACCCCCACCATGAGGACATTGATTATGCCCAGCCAGGGTGCCCAGGATCCCAGCTCTTCTGAGCTGGCCTAGCTGGCCCTGAGCGGGATACTGCTTCTCTGCGCCCCCAGTTTCCTCTACCTCTTGGGGATTCCAAGAATAATCTCACACAACAGCAGTGAGCCAGGCCCAGGCACAGTGACAGGGCTTAATTAACTGGGACCAGAGAGCCATTTGTTCAAGGTCAGGTTAGCAACACTGGCAACAGAGGAACCAGCGGAAGCAGGCTGAGCTAGGTTCTCATCCTCCTGCAGCCCCCTAAGTGCCAGTGAGTCTATTTTTCATCTGGAAAATGGGGTTCACAGGCTCTGCCTCACAGAGATGTGTTCGCAACCCAGGAGCCTGGGCCTTTTCTGGGCTAGAGGGACATGTCTTGGACATAACAGTGATTACAGTCAAGTCCAACTGGTGTCAAGGTAGTTTCACTAGGAGGCTGAGTGAGGCTGGGCCACTCATCCAAGAGCACCCAGCTGCAGAGGCTTGGCCTGAATGTGCTGACACCTCCCTTGCAGTTGTGTCCCCCTCAGCCCACATTTTGATGTCATCAACAAGGTTGGCAAGTGCTGCTTAAGGGGGGTGCTATGTGGGGCATACCCCCAGCCAGGCCTTGCAGGGGGCTATGGCCTAGTGCAGTTCACATACACTTAGCCTGTTTTCATGTGAGGAGGCTGAGGCTCACCTGAGGTGACAGAGCATGGACTGGAACCCAGGCATGGCCAACCTCTGTGAACATGAGGTTTTCAGCTAGGCACAGGGATACACAGACTGAGGATATCCAAACAAGCTCCAAATGCACTAACTGAAGACACCCAATTCCTCAGGCTAAGGTGGGAAGGGCTGATAAACAGGCACAGCCACCCCTCCCTGAAGTAACCTGCAGCTATAGAAAGGCTGGCCGGGAGCCCAGGGGAGGGCACTGGGCTGTGGGAGAGGCCTTCCCTCCAACCTCCCTGTGTACTTATTAATCTATTCAGGTATATGTTCAGAAATGTTTACAGGAAATGAGCACAGCGGGCAGACAGTAGCCTGCACACATGGAGCTCATGGACAGCGCAGGGCAGACAAACAGGAAAGCATACAAACAAGGGCACCTCAGATGGAGTCAGAAGTCAGAGACACAGCACAAGGGGTGATGGGACTGGGGTACCAAGGAAGGGAGAGGGCAGAGGGAAGGGTGCTCTAAACAGAGGGCAAAGCATGTGTAAAAGCCCTGAGGTGGGAAGGCTGGTGTGGCTGGAACCATGATTAAAGGAGAGCATAGGGAAGATGAAGGTGGGAGGTGGGCAGGGCCTCAAGGATAGTTTGGTTTCATGGGGTGGGCAATGGGGAGCCATGGGCAGACTGAGTGCAGAGCTGGGGCAGGGCACAGGGCAGCACTTCAGGCTTCCTCAGAAATGGGCTGGCAGCACTCAACCATCAAGTGACAGACAAAGAAACATGAGGTTCACAGGGCCTGAGGACTGCCCCAAAGTCACAGGACTGCACCAAGGTCACACACGTGGTTGACCCAGAAGTCAAATTCAGGGTAGCTTGGAGTAGGCAAGGGATCCTACCCCTGGCCAAGTACCCTGAGAAGGGGGGTCAGGGCAGGGTGACTGGGGCAGAGGTTCATGTTAGTCCTACTGAGCTGGCAGGGCCTGCCCAGCTGGGGGCAGGGGAGGCTTGCAAATCACAGGGAGGTGGGGCCAGTCTGATGCCCCTACAGCTATTTGCATGGGCCACTTTCAATGGAAACCAGGAGCTTTCTGGGAAAAGAGCTTGCGCTGATGTCAAGGGTAGAATTGGGGCCCTCCTCAGACTAGGGGAGGTGAATGACCAGCAGCGGGGTGGGGACTCTGAGAGAGAAGAGGGGCTCCCAGGTGCAGGATGGAAGATCCGGGCATGGCACTTGGAGCCCCCAGGGGTCTTGAGGCTGCTCTGACCCTGACCGGGTAACACAGAATGCATAAGCTGCTGGGCGACCACAAGATGCCCCCCGAGTGTGACTGTAAAGGAGAACTGGGGTCTTCCAGGCGCAGCTGCCTGGGAACATTCAGAATACTTGGGGGTAAGGTGGGCACCAAAAGTAATGGGGGCAGCAAAAGTAATGTCCATTTATAGATGGGGAAACTGAGGCTCAGAGAGGGAAGGTGGGCTACTCAAGCTACCCAGCAAGCAAGGACCTCAATGTGGCCAGGAGGGGAAATGCAGGAGAGTACTCCTGGGGTGACCAAGGTGAAGTTAAGACAACCGGGCACTTCCCATGTCCCAGCTCTGCTCCAACACCAGGTGGAGGGGCTCTATCCCTCCCCAAACTCTGTTTTACGAAGGATCAAATCAAGGCTTAGTGGTTATGTCACTTGCTGAAGGCCACACGGCTGAGTGGTGGCTGGATGCTGAGCTCTCCAGGTCCTCAAGGCAATACATTCTTGGAAACAGGGATCATGGCACCTGTAGACCCCAGGATCATGCCGACTGTGGCCCCAGCAGCCTATCTGAAGGCAACAGCAAATATTACATCCCAGGCTCTTCTCAAAACTGCTGTTTTCCTTAGCGACCCCATGGTCTGCCCAAACATCCACCCCTCCCATTCTCTGAGGCCACTAGCTGCAGTCCCCCGCCCCCCATGATGCCACAGAAGAAACCCCTCTATCATTCAGCCAACAGTCTTTTATTACCACACACCACTGGTTGACCTGGGGCCCCAGAGATGGACCAGCCTCGGTCCTTGCCCTCTGGCCAGCAGAGCAAGGTATCTGCAACACATTTTATAGGTGAGAAAAACAGGAGCAGGGCCAGAACAGACCTGAAGGGGCAGGAGTGGGATCCCTGCCCTGCTCTGAGACTGGCCAGTGTGGCTGCCAAATTTCAGATTGCCCTTTGCCTCAAGCAATGCTAGAAAGGGTGGGGGAGGGGAGGCGGGACGGGGCAGGCAGGACAGTTGATACCAATGCTGTCGGTTGGTGAGGGGAGCACAGGACCCAGTGTAGACACCTCACTAGTGCTCCCTTCCCACCTCACAGCTTGTACCTGGCCCCATAGGAAAACACCTCTTCCTGAGTGAAGGGAGGAATCTGGGGGGAGGGGGGAGTAGAGTGGCAGGACATGGATCTCCCCATTCTCTGAGTCACATGACTCACCCAGACTCACGCCCAGACCAAGGATGGGTCACAGCGCCAGGTTGCCCTTCTGGCCAGTCCACAGCTCTCGGAGCTCAACGTGGCAGCCCAGGTCCCGCAGGGCGGCCTTGGCCACATCCTCGCAGTCTCGGTGGGTGGCACGGGCCTGAGTGATGAGCGCCTCGGCCCCCAGATCCAAGATGGACTGTGAGAAGGCCTGGCTGCGGGCCACCAGGTTTCGGATCAGCATACAGGCCTGTTTCTAAAAGGGAGAGCAGAAGGTGAGGGCTATGAGCTGGTGGGTGGGGCCCCGGGGTAGGGTCCACTCTGACCTCAGGGTTGTCCTCATAACACAATGCATCAACGATGATCACAGCCCGCATTCCACAGGCGCTACATTGTGACTCATCAGGCCAGAGGCATCCCTTCACTTCATCCTCTCAGCAGCTCTGGAGGCAGGGCTAATCCCCCATCTCTCCCAGGTGAAGAAACTAAAGCTCAGGACAGCCAAGGGCTTGGCAGGTGGGGCTAATCCCTCCTCAGGTATGGATCCTCAGTCTCCAAGAGTCCGGCAGGGGCCCCAGGGGAGGAGGGCAGCATGACAGTTGGAAGACAGGGATGTGCACAGGGCCCATCTGTGAATCACACAGGTATTCCCTCAGGCAACATTTGCACCCTGCATATCTACCCCTGTGGGTGCCTAGCAGCACCACAACAAGGCACCTGCCACCTGCAGGACAGTGGATAAGGAGCAGGTGAGGTGTGAGAGGCTCCTGGCAAGGGTGGTCAGGGAAGGACAAGGTGATGGGCCAAAGGGCATGGTGTCCTGGAGGAAGGACCAGGACGGCAAAGGCCACAGTGGGCCCAGAGCCTGGTGTGTGTAAGGACCATGAGGAGGCCCCAGTGCTGGAAGGGTGCAAGAGTGGGAGGCAGGAGGGTCTGGGAATGCAGGGAGGAGTGTGGGTTTCAGGCCAGGGTATCACATGGCCCTGTCTATAGTTCAGCTCCACCGACTCCCCAGCGAGGTGTGGACAGTAGTCCAAGGCAGGGCTGGAATCTCCCTAAACCCCAGCAGAGCCCCATCTGCTCTCCCCAAACCTCTTCCTCCCCAGATCCCTACAAAGGGCCTGTTAGGAAAGATCAAATGCAGAAAGAGCAGAGGAGCAGGGACAGTACACTCTGGAAGATGAGATGTAGCTAGAGAACCAGAGGGTCTGGGAAGGAAAAAGAACCCACGAGACTTGGGTCATGATGGGGATGGGGGCAGGGACAGGGAGGGCCTCCTTCTGGCCCTCCACCTGCCCACCAGTCTCCTGCTGCTACTTCCCCTGTGCCCACCTGCACACCAGCCTCCTGTGGGTGTGCCTTCATGGCTTCCAGTGCAGCCAAAGCCCCACCGCCCTCCACGATGACCCGGCTGTTCTCCGGCTTGCGCAGGGCCAAGACACACAGGGCTGCGCAGCTCTGTTCACACACCTGCGGGATGGGTCACAGGGATGAATGAGACCAAGCCAACAGGCCCCAATTATCAACTCCCCAGGTAAGTGCCCTGCAACCTCACCTGGACAGACCGCTGTCAGTCCAGGTGTGTATGGGTTCAGTAATAACAAGAACAGTACCAGGGTGACAAAAACATCAACCAAGCTCTCCCCACCCCTCCTCACCCCACTCCCTATTTGCCTTGGCCCCACCTCTCCCCCACCCCCACTTGAAATAGAAAAAGCATCATGCAGATATAGAAACTGAGCTGGGATTTCCACCCCACCATCCCACCTCGTGTGCCCCTGGGTGGTACCTGGGGGCTGGCCAGGTGCCGGGTCATGGCAGCCACAATGGACTCTGTTGCGCCAGCACGGACGATGGCATCCTTCACATCATCATTGCCCGCGATGGCCCGCAGGGCGCTCAGCACCTGCTTCACGAGGTCCTACACGGAGGGCACACGGGGGTCACCCCTGGCCAGTCCCCCTCCCACTGTGCCAGGCACTAACTGCTTGATTGCTGTATTGTGGAGGGGGTCTCAAGGGAGGGTCTGGGGCAATTCCACTGTCTGAATAACAGCTGGGGCTGCCCTGGGGAGCGTAGTTGGGATGTAACAGCAGGGTTACTACTCGCTGTATAGAGAAGGCAGGGGAGGCGGGGGAGGTGGACCCTGTGGTTTAGGCCAGCTGCATCCAGACCAGGCATTGGGATGACCTTGACACCCTCACACACACACACTGAGGGGGCATTGGCTCAGGTCAGCAATCAGGACACCAGGTCCCCCTGGCCATGGCTGCAGGCCCAGTGTGGGCTCTGACTGACCTGAGCTGAGGACAGCCAGTCAGATGCTGCTGGGGCTGCTAACTGCCCCAGTAAGGGGCAGAGCAGTGAGAGAGAGGAGGTGGACCAAGGCCCCCATCTCCAGCTGTCCAGGAGTACAAGCAAATTGCAATCTCTTGATTGCTTAAGCCAGTTCAAATTCAGCTTTCTGCCACCTGTACAGGAGCCTGGCTGATATCACTAGATGGGGTTGGGGGCAGCAGGGCCATTGCTGCCATGGGCCAGGCTCCCTGTCCTTGGGCCAGGGGTTGATAAGTGACTGCTAAATGAAGGAGTGATGGGTAGGGGTCCCTGCCCTATTATACAGATGAAGAAACCCAGGCAGTGAGGGGTGGGCCTCTCACTCAAACATTACACAGCTGAGCTGTGGTCTGGGCCAACCCTGGTGACACCCACTCCTATTCCTCCCACTCCTGGTAGAAAATATAAAGGTGCTAAATGACAGTAAGAGAAGGTGGGTAGATTTGTCTGCCCCCAAACTTTAGTTCCTGCCCATGTGTCAATGAGAAGTAGAAACCACACTTTGGTTCTGGGATCAGCAGACAGGGCCAGTGATTTCTGACTCCGGCTTGTGGGGCTGGCAGAGGCCAAAAGGGGCATAGTTCTCTGGGAGGCCAGAGCCTTCCCCAGGCGTGGAGGAAAATGTCAAATTGAAACCCAAGCAAGGGGTATTTCGCACCCTAAGACAGCTCTGGATGCCCACCTGGTGGTCGCTGCAGTCGGCCAGCAGAGCCACCAGGACACTGAGGCCCCCAAGGTCGACGACCTCCTGGCAGAACTCGTTGCGGACGGCCAGGCGGGACAGGGTGCTGCAGAGCTCACTCAGGACACTGGGGTTGTCAGAGAATGCTGCAGAGAGGGAGAGGAGCTGTGGGGATAAGGAAAGGGCAGAGGACCAGCCATGGCTCCGAGTCAGTGGTCCTAATGCAAATCCTGCTCCACCCTCTGCCTGGTGGGGTGGCTGCCTGTCCCAGTAGAGCCCCAGTGAACACCAGAGGCTGCCCTGACCGGCAGCGCCCCCTGCTGGCTGCTGGGGAAGACACTCCCCCCAACCTCCTTACCCCCACCCAGATAAATTCCAGACCAATTAATGGTGTCATCTAAAAAAAGAAAACCATAATAGTACTATAATAAAACATCTGAGACTATTTTTATGATCTTGGGGTGGGAATGACCTTTCTAAGTGCAACTGGAAACCCAGGAACCATAGAGACATATGGATAGAGTTGACCAACAAAATTGAACACAGACATGAAGACCAAGTTCAGAGGCACAGGATGAAGAGGCTACACTGAGGCCAACACGGGGTAGGAGAGAGGCGGAGAGCCATAATTTAAACAGAGCTCTGTGATTGTCAGCTCATCAGTTGGTGTGTCCCCTGGCTAGGCTGCAGCCCCATGAGAGTTCATCTGGATATGCCACGGAGGTGTTGTCTACACATTGTAACATCCACGACCAGCTGACTTTAAGTAAAGGAGAAGAACCTCGATGGTCTGGGTGGGACTCATCTAATCAGCTGAAGGCCTTTATGAGAGAAACTGGGGTCTCCCTGAGTAGGAAGAAGCACACCTGTGGACTGTGGTGTCTGTTTCTGCCCCATGGATTTCAGACTCGAAGGCCAATTCCTTGCAATAACCCTTTTGTATATCCACATATCCTACTGGTCTGTCTCTCTTTTAGAGCCTGATTGAAATGAGCTCCTGTAAATAAACACGAAAAATGCAAACCGCTCAAAAAAGCAGACCAACTTCACAGATGGTCAGAACCTGTTTCCACCCTCTCCAGGGGTGTGGAAGGGAGACTGAGGCAGGCCCACCTCCATTGCAGACAGGGCCGGCATCCTCCACACAGGCCTGGCCATGGAGCCTGTGCCATGGGCAGGCCCGGAAGAACACATTCTTCTAGCACCTCCTGTGCACCAGCCTCCAGTCAGGCCTTTTCTGGTAGGTGCAGTGGACAGGGGGCTGGTGTTTTGGGGTCTGAATGTCAGCGTTGTGACCTCCTACTGCCGGCTCACTATGGTCACCCTGGAGTTAGGAACACATACATGCACAACAATTTGTGGCCAAGTGTGAGCCCAAGTATAACCTGCCACCTGAGACCAGCCACGGTGAGTGCCTGCAGCATTTATCCCATCTTTGGAAAACACCCTTGTTTTTTCCTCTGGGGAGCTCTCCCTTCCCCACTCTCAATCTGTGGTTGGGCAGAGCTGAGCCTCCTTCCCAAATGGCTTCAGACATGGGCACAGGCCTTGGTCCCGGCCAATGAGTGCTGGCCTGAAACTTTCCTGGGGCAACCAGGAGTAAGGATACTGTTCCATGAGGGCTGCCCGCCATGTAGGTGGAACGAAACCAAGAGAGGCAAGTGGAGCCTGAAGCTAGCCATGCCTGGAGCAGGCCTAAGTCTTGAGTCTCACTCTTGCTCCTACCTTTGGCAGCCTCAATGAGCACCTTCAAGCCTCCGTTCTCCTGCACGATCATCTTGGCATGGTCGTGGGCGTGGCCGAAGGGCACACGGATGTCATCATCAAAGGTCATGATGCGGAGGGTCCAGCAGGCCTCCCTGACCACGTCGGCGCAGCAGCCATGCCGGGTGATGGCGCGGGTCAGCAGGGGCAGCACACCAGCCTTCACCAGGCTCTGCCGATTCTGTTCGTGTTTCAGGCAGGCATGCCGCACACAGCGTATCCCAGAGCAGAGCAGATCAGCTGTGTCAGCGTTCTGGGCCAGCGTGGCCACCAGCAACTTCAGGCCCTGGGTGTCCAGGAGGTCGGGCTGGCTGTCAATCAGGGCTGACAGAGCATTGAGGGCCTGGAGCAGGAGGCCCTGGTCTCCCGCTGCAGCCAGCTTCCAGGCAGCGAGGAGGATGGGGTAGGCGCCCTTCTGGGCTGCCAGGAAGCGGCAGGCCTTGTGCTGCTTGCATTGTTCGCAAAAGCGGGCAAGGTGCACTGACACCTCCTGGGGGAGAGAGCAGGCTACGGACTCCTTCAGGTTGTCCAGGACCTACAGAACACGGGAGAAACCTCGGTGTCAGCTCAGCCCAAAGAGAGCCATAGCCACAGTGCTGCACCCCTGCAGCATCCCCTCCCCCAAGGTCTGGACCTGCACTGGTTCTATGAGGCCAGTTCCAGCCGCGGCAGCTTCTACACCTGTGCTTTTAGGAGCCTTGAGCTTGAGAGGCCACTTAGAGGGAGAGGCCCAGCTCTCTCAGTGTCCCTGCCAAGAAGCAACACAAAGTACAGATGTATTAAACATTCCAGCCCTAGTTGCCACTGCATAAGAGGCCCTAAGTGAGACTAAGAGAATCATCCAGCTGAGCTCTGTCAGCCCAATAGAATTGTAACAAACAAATTGGCTGTTGTTTTTGGTTGCTTGTTACATGGCTATACACCATCCAATGGCCAGCTCTCCAAAGAACGCGAAAGCTGTCTTTGCCAGACCTGCTCACACATCTCCTGTTTGTCTCTCTCATACATTCCACAAATATTTACTGAGCATACACCAAATGAAATCACACTGATTCACTCAAATTCAACCCTAAGCCCTTGCAGAAAAAAATAATAATGAGAAAAAACATTCTGAAGAGGACAGACAGGACCAGTAGCTGTTATTCAACTCCATGACCTCAGGGCCTGCCTTAGCAGGAGCCCAAGATGAATCCGTGCCCCTGGAGTTTCTGAAATAATTTGCACCCTATCCCACGCCCCCAATAAGGGTGGTTCTACAGATACCCTCTGCCCAAAGGCCTTTGACATAGTTCGACTGCCCTGAAAGGCAAGGATGCCTGTCAGCCAACCCTCACTGGGCTAGATTTGTGGACTTAACTGAGCATATGTTAAATTAAAACAGAACGTTAAGAAATAGATTAAAACTAGAGCAGTGACTTGAATAGACATTCCTCCAAAGAAGATTCACGAATGGCCAATGAGTACAGGAAAAGATGCTCCATATCACCAATCAAATCACCAATCAAAGCCACGAGGTACCATCATACTCTTAAAGATGGCTACTACCAAAACGGAAAATAACAAGTATTGGCAGGGATGTGGAGAATTGGAGCCCTTGTGCATTGATGACAGGATGTGAAATGGTATATAGCCACTTTGGAAAACAGTCTAGCAGCTCCTAAAAACATTAAGTATAGAATTACCACATGATCTAACGATCCCACTTCTGGGTATACACTCAAAAGAATTGAAAGCAGGGTCTCAAAGAGAGAGACGTTTGTACATTCATGTGTACAGCAGCATTATTCAAAATAGCCAAAAGGTGGAAGCAACTCAAGTGTCCATCAATAAATGAAAGAACAAAATGTGGTCCATCCATACAATGGAATATTATGTAGCCATAAAAAAGAAGGAAATTCTGACACATGCTACAGCATGGATGAATCTTGAGGACATTATGCTCAGTGAAATAAGCCAGACATAAAAGGGCAAATACTGCAAAATTCCATTTATATGAGGTCCTCAGAGGAGACAGATTCCTAGCCATAAAGTAGATGGTGGGTGCCAAGGGCTGGGGGAGGTGGGAATGGGGAGTTTGTGCTTAATGGGGACAGTTTCAGTTTGGGAAGATAAAGGAGTTTTGGACATGGATGGTGTGATGGCTGCACAATGATGTGAATGTACTAATGCCAACTCAGCAGTGCACTTAGAAATGGTTAAGATGGTAGGTTTTATGTTGTGTATCTTTTACCACCACCAAAAAAAAAAAAAAAAGAGGTCGTGGCATTTTAGTAGGAACCCTACAAGAAACTTGAAAAGCATATGACACAAGTGCCACTGAGATGCAATGTACTGGAGTTACAACTATTCTATTTAGTCAGATAAAGAGAGGAAAGAAAACGATCAGTATTTGCACACTAATAGCTGTCAAATTTACAGGAAATCTCTTCTTGTCCTGGATCTTATCATAACGCTGAGTCTGAGTCAGCTGGCTATGGGGGTTGTCTTCATGATTCCTAGGTGCTGTCTGTGACCCCAAAACCCCACAGGCTGTCTGAGCAGAGGACAGTTGCTAATGTGGAGGTGGCAGAGACAGCTGTGCTCCACCTGTGACAGCTCAGCATAGTGACAGGGCTCTGTCCTCCAGCCCTGTGGTCATTCTCTCTCTGACTGAAGGCTTTTATTCTGCAACTTTCCACATATAAAACTGGCCAGACTCACTTTCTACTCAGAGTTTCAAGACTTCATCTTGGTTTTATTTCTACAAGTCTGTTTACAACAAATGTCATAACTCTAACAGATTCATTTCAAAAGGCATCACAAAGTTGAATTTTTCTCCCTCCAAAAATAAGCATTTTTTTGTGCATCAGAACTGAGACATACAAGCAGAGGTCAACAGTGCCGTGTGCACATGAAAAGGGCTGGGAGATGCAAACCCCAAAGTGTGTGGCATCACTTCCAGGAAGGGGCGAGGAGGTGGCTGGTGGGACGTACAGGACAGGGACTTTCAGATTTTACTATAAATGCTTGAGTACTGCTTGAATCTTTTATGCCAAGAATATATTCACATTGTCTTCTGTAACAAAAAATAAAATTTTACAAGTGAAATTAAGAAGAATCAAAGAGCAAAGGCTGTACACAAACAAGGAGTTTCCAATACTACTGGTAGAAGATAGTCGAACCATTCTCTGAGCTTGGCTTCCCTGGGAGAGGGACCTAGGTCTGGGTCCCAGCTCTGCCCCTCACTGGCTGTGACCATAGGTGAGTCATTTATTTTTGGGAAGCCTCAGATTGCTGATCAACAAAATGGGCTAATTACAGATTGAGATAATGTGTTTTAAGCATTTAGTACAATGCTGAGCACTTCAGAAGTACTCAATGATTGTTAGAGATCATTGTTACTGAGATCTTTCATACATAAAGGACATCTACAAATCAATAAGAAAAAAAAGAACCACCCAATAGAAAATGGCCAGAAGACAAGATCATTTTAAAATACATTCATTCTTACTAGCAAAGAAAACAACGAGATGATTTTCACAAAACCTCTGTAAGGCAGGAGATGGTGAGGACCCTGAGGACAGGGAGAAGTAAGCACCTTGCTTTAGTCAAGAGCTGGGATTACACTTAGGGCTTTCTCTTCCAACTTCCTCTTTTATCACTACACTCCCTTGCTGCCTTATCTTTGGATCTCAATTTCCCCATCTGCAGGTATCTTTGAGAGAATAACTAAGACAGCACAAGGAAAGTACCTTGCACAGAAGTGAGTTCACAGTCCATTCTCAGTAAACACTAGAATCTTCTGCTGTTTTACCAGCAGCTTACCATTTTGTGGATGACCTTAAGGAAAGGACTTAACCTCTGTGAGCTGTATCTTCCTTGTTGCTAGAGAACAAGGGCAGACTCTGAGCCTCCGTTTCCCCTTTCCCCATCAGTAATTCAGGGACGATACTGCCTACCCAACAGGCCAGTTTAAGTGCTAACAGTCAGTGACAATAAGTGACAGCCTTACTATGACCCCACTCTCTCTGAGAAAACTCGGTGGTAGGAAGGCCAGAGAGAAGCTCCTCAATGGTGCCCTCTACCCCAAGGCTCCTAACACCAGGGACAACCATGAGCGCTGTCCACCCCCGAGAGGCCCTATACATGGACTCAGGGAGCCCTGACTACAAACTTGGGCCTGCCTGCACACGCTGGGCAGGTCCTGACCTTTGGAGCTTATGTCTGCCATCTGGGAACCAGGGAAAAGGTACCCGACAGACCATTACAAGGTGATGTGTGTGGGACCACACATGTAAGGTCAGCCCTGCCCACATGGGCCGACCCTCCTACCTGCAAGATGTCGTGTGTGGGCTCCTGGGGTCCATCTGCAGAGACTTGGGGTGCCATCTTTATAATGTTGCTCAGATCGACCCCTGTAGGGGTGGGGGGGAGTCAGGAAACAAGTGACAGTCGTCATCTCTGTGACCTGTCGGGGTCACAACTCAGGTCCCTTCTGCTGGAATGACCCACTCTGGAGGCCTTCAGGAGTTTGCCCAGGCCCCCACTCCACCCTCCTCCTCACCCAGGCCAGACTTAACAGCCACATCCACACAGAAGGTGTGGGGTGGAGGTGGCGGGAGGTCTTTGCCCCTCAGTCCTGTCCAGCCCCAGCCAATGGGAGCAGGGCAGGAGCAGAGCAGTAGCAGAGCAGAACAGAGCACGCCATCACTGCAGTGAGAGGCCCATTCTGCCTGGTGGGTTGAGAAGAGAGGGGACCCCACAGCATTCTCCCTTGGGATTCCCATCACTCCTTCCACTGGCTGTATCCCTGCCCTCACTGGCACCCCCAAAGGAAGCCCCCACTGTGCAGGACACTTCTGGGTGCCCCTCCAGACCCTGTCCATTGTCTATATCCCACTCTGTGACCAGGACACCAGCCTCTGACCTGAGGCTAGATTCCTGGGCTCCCTTGCCCTCCAGAATCTGACTGGGCTTGGACAATGAGCTGGACTCAAGATAAGGAGTGGGGGGGGGGCAGGTGTTCATTCCCAGCTCCCTGCCTCTGCCAGATGACCCTCACCCCCCCGTCATGGCCTTTCCTGGGGCAGGAGAGGTCCCTGCTGTGGCCTGCAGGGTCTCCTAACCTTGTCTACATCACTATAAACAACTCCCTCTTATCCACTCCCCTCCATGGTTTAAGCATGATACCTGTTTGCACAGGTGGGTAATCAACATGTACTTCTGCCTTCTTGAACTCAAGCATGGGTGCGAGTGGGGCAGGGAGGTAGGTGGCCCTATTTCTTGAGAGGTGGTCAGGAAATGCCTGTTCAAGGAAGTGACAATTAAAAGGAGACCCACCTCAAAGATCCAGCCCTGCAGATATTTGGGTAAGGTCCAGGCAAATAGAGGGTGGGCACCAGCAAGGTGGGAGCAGGCAGTCAGCCTGCCTGGGGCAGAGTGTGGAGAGGGAAAGGGGCCCAGGGCTGCCACGCCAGGTGAGATGGGGCCACAGCAGGACAGCACTCTCGCACATTAAGAGCCGTGGATTGGAAGGGACTGTCGAGCAAAAAAACGGACTAGTACCACACCACCTTACCTTGTGATTCAAATTGCTCCACAGCCTCTTTCACTGCTTCCTCTGGCCCCATCTCAAACTCCTCAATGTTCTCAAGAACAGCCGCATCGAAGGTCTCCTGGGTGATGTGCTTGGAGGCCATCTTCATCCCTTCTGCATGAAGCCGCAGGTGCCTGATAGACGCTCCTGAGCTGAGAAGTTAAGGTGAGAAGAAAGCTTCATCAAGGGTAAGAGGGCAGCTGGGAGCCGGGCCACAATTTAAGGAGCATCTACTGGGGCTACAGCCATATGACCACCCAGGAAAAATTCTTACAACCTGGATCACAGGATTGGGTGATATTCCAACATCCCTAGAGTGTCTAAAAGTGCAGAAGAGGACAGGTAATTTACTACATTTTCTAAGAAAGGGGGAATGTTAGGGCTGGCTGAGTGGCTTGGTTAAGAGCGCGAGCTCTGAGCAACAGGGTCGCCAGTTCGATTCCCACATGGGCCAGTGAGCTGTGCCTGAGCTGAGCTGCCACTGAGCTGGTGAGAGTGCATGCTCTTAGCAGCAAGGTTGCTGGTTGGACTCCCACATGGGATGGTAGGCCACGCCCACTAGCAGCTAAGAGTGAACTTGGCACCTTGAGCTGAGCAGCTGCAAGCTGCTGACAGGTGGCCGAATAGCTCAGTGTGCAAGAAGGTTATCAGTTCGACTCCCACATAGAATGGTGGACTACACCTGCCCGCGACTAGATTGAAAGCGACGACTGGACTTGGAGCTGAACTTGCGCCCTCCACAACTAAGATTGAACAACAACTTGACTTGGAGCTGATGGGTCCTAGAAAAAACACATTCTTCCCCTTCCTCAATTCCCCAACACTGTTCCCCTCCCCAATATCCCAATAAAAAAATCTTAAAAAAAAAAAAAGAATATATAATGAACTCTAAAAATTCATTACTAATAAACAACCCAATCAAAAAACGGGCTAAGAATTTTCAAGGTCAAAGGTGAAGGAAAATATTAAGGATTTTCTGTTTTGCGATAGGAGTCCAGGCTGGTGATGGTGGGGTATTCCATGGCCAGCTCCGAGGGATGGAAACTTCCGAGCTGGTGCCCCTGGAGGAACTGTGCTCCTGGTTCTGCCACCTGACATTGCTTCAACTATACTGGCAGTGTTTCAGACCCAAGTGGGCCAACGGTGAGTGGCCACTTTGTTACAGAGGCACAGTCTTAAAGGGGGAATGCCATTATGCCTACTTTACAGCTGAGGAATCTGAAGCTCAGAAAAGTATGTACCTGCCGGAGGTCACACAGGCCATAAGAGGCCTGGCCATCATGCAAACTTGCCTCATTAACACATAACTCCGCCTGGGTCATCTAAGGAGCTTCTGCCAGGACTTCCAGGCCACCGCCTCCTGGGAGCCTTCCCTGGGCACTCAGATAGAGCCTATGCTCTCTGGCCTTGATCTGCACCCCACACCCCACTTCACCCCATAAACCTCCCTCTGCCCAGCTCTGAGCTCCCTCAGCTGAGGAGATCAATGTCTGGCTCTAAGACCACCCCTAAGGTCCTCTGGGATCTCCTAGGCCTGACATGGGGCTGGGTGGGGGGAATGAAAGTATCTAAAGCACATAAGAAAGATGGTGCCTGAGAATGGTCATCTGGGAACCACCTGGGCCAGGCCAAGGGAGAGGGGAAATTATCAGCTCCCACGATGAGTTCAATGCATTGGGGGAAAGGAAGGAAATTAACAAGGCCCCCAACTGACAGCTGGGGTTCTGCTCATCAAGAAAATGGTACACTGAGGGGTGACCGGCTAGCTCAGTTGGTTAGAGCATGGTGCTGATAATACCAAGGTTGCCGGTTTGATCCCCGCATGGGCCACTGTGAGCTGCGCTCTCCTTAAAAATAATTAAATAGGGCCGGCCCAGTGGCTCAGTTGGTTAAGAGCTCGCTCAAGAGTTTGAGCTCTGAGCAACAGCGGTTCGATTGCCAGCCCGAGCTAAGCAGCTGCTGAGCTGCCAACAGGTGGCAGGATGGCTCAGCTTAAAAAAATAAAATTAAAAAAATTTTTAAATAAATAATAATAAAAGAAAATGATGCACTGAAACATCGGGGACTTGGAAAAGCTCACCTTCTTCCACCAGCCACACCTACCCTGGTTCAGGCACCATCCTCCTCCCCAGTGGGTGGCCTCACCTGCTTCCTCCCTGCCACATTTGCAAATCTATTCACCACAAAGAGACCACCTTACTCACCTGCTCAAAATCCTGCAGTGGCGTCCCACCTATCTCAGAACAAAACCCAGTCTCCTTACCAGCTCTTTTCCTACCTAGATTTCCTCACCTGTGCGTCCCTGTCTCTTTCTAATCCTTCCCAGCTATTCAAGGGACAACCTTCATAATCACTCTGGCTATGGCTCTCCTTTCACACCACTCTTTTATTATTTGAATGTTATCTCTACCTGAAGTGACATGGTTCATTTATTATTTGCTTGAACTGTCTAGCCTCCTCCTCAATGAAATTTAACCTCATGAGAGCTGGACACAGCCCATTTTGTTTCCCATCTTCTCACCACTTTCTAGGGCGGGGCCGGGCACGCAGCAGGCACCCAGTAAGTACATAGACAGTGAATGAAAAAAGAAAACGGAGGCCCGCAAAGTGGGGGATTTTTGTCCTGGGGCGGCTTCTGTAAGAGTCTTTCATTCCCCAAAACCAAGATCCCGTGGACAGCCCACAGTCACCAACCCGACCCTGCGGCGCCCACTCCCCGCCCGGCTCGCAAGGGGTCTCGGCAGCTCCCGCTTCTCACCTGGTCTTTGCGGCCACGTGGGAAAGGGTGGGGCTCGCGTCTGTCACCGGCGGCGCCGCCTCAATCCCCTTCCGGCCGCCGTACGCGCGCAGGCGCGCTTGCGCCGCCTCGCCTCTCTCCCTCAGCTGGGCGAACCGCTCCCTGCGTGACCAAGAGTGATCACAAGCGCAGGTAAAGCCAAGAGGGCCAATAGTTGCGCGGCGGCGGCGTATATGCTGCTTTTTCCGGGCCACTCTCTGTTGCCGCCGCCCCAGACAGGGAAATTTTTCTCCTCAAGATAGTCAGCCCTGAAGGAGCCGGCAGTGCGCCTGCGCAAGAGGGTGCGGCGGCCGCTGCCTGCGCCTGTGCACTAGGGCTCGGCGGCGACCTGCGCCTGCGCGGCGCTGCGGAGACCGTTGGCTAATTTGCATGTCCCCGCCTCGCCCGGCGGTGGCGGCTGAGAAGTCCGAGACGGCGGCGGGGGCGACTCCGCGCGCAGTGGGCTCGGGGTGAGGCCCCAGCACGAGCATCGTCGGTGGGTGGGCCCCAGGGTGGAGGACTCGGACTCGGTCCCTGGGGGCCCAGGGCTCACGCGTCCCCGCGGTTGAGCCGCGGACTCGGCCTTCGGGCTCCGCGGCGGCCGCGCCCCGGCCATGTAAACCTGAGGGGCGATCCGCGGCCTTCCGGGCCCAACACCCCCCTTTTCTTCGTCCTCGGAGGCCGGGAGCAGGCGGGCCGCATCCCAAGGATTTCATTCATTCCCTCGCTCATTCATTCGACCCCAGCCCAGAGCGGCCCCTCGTGAGGCGGTCACCGCGGCCCGGCGCTGTATTGGGCCCTTTGCCATTTTCAACGGGTTCATCCCCACCATTAGCTGCCCATCCCATAGATGGGGAAACGGAGGCACAGAAAGGTTAGGTCGCTTGATTTGGTCCCGGGGCGCCCTGGCCTGGAAACCCAGCTCTTCGCCAGCAGAGAACAAGAGGCATCCTAGGAAAAGGGCTGAAGGATGGGAAAGGGGGTGATGGTTATAAGGCAGGAGCTGGTTTGGATATTAGGTTGCAGATTTCAAGTTGGAAGGAATATCTCCGTGGTTAAGGACAGGCCACTACTGGATTCCTCAGTGTTGCTTCTTCCTCAGTCTTTTTACTTAATCTTCAGGTCTTTGTCCTCACTACCAGTGCCCTGTTTGCCAGATTCCAGTCCAGGCTGGCTGATCTTGGGGGAGGGGGCCACTTAGCCTGAGGCTCCCATTTCCCCATTTCCTCTTCTGTTTATTGTCATTTATAACAGGACACGCATAACTGGGTTGTTGCAAGAAGTAAAGGAGATGATGGGCGTTCCTTCCCTACAACTCTCACTAGTCAGGGATTCTTCCCCTCACTTGAGAGGCTTCTCTCAGAGGGGAAGTTGGTTCTCAGAGCCTCTTGGCCCTGGGTGGGAAATGTGAAGGATCACATCTTTCCATACTACTATGTGCAATGCTTATGCTCCCACTCCCTTATACCATCATGTTCAGTTATGTGTGTTGCTTCATGCAGTCCTCCAGCGATGCCCGGAGATAGGGATTGCTTTCATACAGCTTCTTTTAAGGGATTCTGAGAAAATGGGCTCAGAGAAGCAAAATAACTTGTCCAAGATCACCATGCTCGTTTTGCTCCTCAGCCAACACCTGTGAGCTTCGTGAGGGCAGAGGCCCCTTAAAATAATCCTACCTTCCTCGAAGTACCATGCAGGATTACGGATTACTGCCTGGTTACTTTCAGGATTAGGTGAAATAGAGAGCAGGCTCTGTGAGCATTAGTTGTCATTCCTAGTGTCTTTTTTCCCCTCCTCTCACTAGGTCAGAGAAACATGGCAGCAAGGCGAATTGCACAGGAGAGTTTTGATGCTGTGTTACAAGAAAAAGCTAACCGATATCACGTGGACCCCAGCAGTGAGGCTGCAGGGGAAGCTCTGCAGTTTAAAGCTCAAGGTAAATTAAAGTGCTTGATTTGGGGAATTGGGTGATCGGGCATTTAGGGTTGGGACAGGAGGATTTCAGTGCCTTGGGCAAACTGTGCAACTCCTTTGATCCTGCATTCTTTATTTGTTGAGGGGAGATGAAGTTTTCTCTGGGTCTACATGTTAAGTCATTATGCAGAACAAGGTATTGTCATTACCTGGAGCTTCTCCCCAGATACCCTTCCCCACATAAAGAAGGGTTTTTTAATCAGTCTCCCTGCTCCATCCCCACCACCGCTGCCCAGGTTTAAACTCATCAGTTCTGTCCTGGATTCTTGCAATAATCTCCACTTCTGGTGTCATTCCCCTCAAATCTGCTCTCACCGCAGATCTGTTAATGCCAACCTTGCTGAGCCAAGGTCCTGCTTGGACTCTTGGACTCACTACTTTGGGGTTACATCCTCAGACAAGGGCAGGAGCAGCAAGGTAACAGTGGTGTGTGCAAGACAGGAGGGGATGGAGGGTGGGGAGCTCTGGAGTTGCTGAGAGTAGCCCTTGCCTGGAAACATTTCCCTTTGGAAAATATTGAAACACCATGCCAGCAGAATCAAAAATGGTGCCTACACAGATTGTAGGACAACATGGAGGTCCCTCACTACCACACATGAGGCTTCCAATCCTTACTCCCTGCTTTGGGCTTCATGTTCAGTGAGACTGTACCATCGTCTGCACTTTGAATCCCAGCTCTGCCTGGTTAATTCCCTCAGGCATTAAGACCCAGCATACAGGTGCCTTCCCCCAGGAAGCCTCAGCGGACCTTGAGGTTGATTTGGTTGCCCTTACCGGCCCCAGAAAAGTATGCTGTGCACTCATTCCTCTACTGTGGGCTGTGCTCTTCCTTCTGGCCTCCTCCCAGGCCTGTGCTGCTCACTGATGCACCAGCCCCTAAAGCCAGCCTCCACATGGAAGAGGGTTTCTCAGTGTTGGTTGAGTAAGTGTTAAGTGCTTCAGGTAGGAATAACTCTTATTACATGCTTTGGACCTATAGAAACCAAGGCTTAGAGGCCGTCTTCTGATTCTAAGTGTTCAGAAATTACATGAATAGGACACAAAAACGTAGCTGTTATAAAAGATTGGAAGAATTAAGAAATAGTTAAGAGTAAAATGTAAAAGTCCTCTTAGCTGCCTCCTTAACCCTCAGAGGTAACCATGTTGGTGGTAGTCTGTGCATCCTTTAATTCTTTTAGTGATGTATTTATGTGTTCATGTATATACATGCAGAGATACACATCATGTGTACATATATATGTATATACAGAGATCTAAATCTTGGTATCTTTATCTAGAGACTTAATACATAATAACATTATTAATACTTAATAACACCAATACATACTTTGTTACCTCAAGAAAATTTGTGGGGGAGGACTAGAAACCAAGCAGGATGCTAGATAGTTCTGGAACCATCTCTTTGTCACAGAGCTGCATGGTCCATTGGTTGGCCTTTCTCTGTGTCTCTGCTCTACTCCACTTTTCCGATGCCTTGGTTTACAGGGCATCAGAAAACCCTGTCATGCAGAAACCATCCCCTACTCTACCTGTATAGCTACTGCCCTCGCCACACCATCAGTACCTGGATCATCTCAGTGGACTCCTCCTGGAACATCCACGTCCACTCATGTTCTGTTCCTGCACAGTAGCCAATGAGGTCAGCCCTCTGCTCTGAACCCTTAGGTGGCTTTCCAGCTCGCTCAGAGAAGACGCCAGTATCCCACTGCGGTCCTGACTTGATCTGTACCCCCTCTTATGTTTACATCCCCTGTCATAGTATTTCCCGAAATTCGCTGCACATTAGAATCATCTGGGGCCCTTCTAAAAAACCTGATGACCCATGCTGATGAATTAAATCAGGATGCGGGGTTGGTGGGGGGGGTATCTTCCCAGACTTCAATGTGGCAGCAGAGTTTAGGAGCCACCTTCTTACCACTTTTTCCCCCGTTCCCTCTGTTCACTTCTGGCACATTCCTCCCCTGCTGGTCCCACCTAGGGACTTTGTCTTCATGCTCCCTCTGCCTAGAAGGCTTCCTCCATAACTGTATGGCCCCTCACGCCAGGCCTCTGCTGCTCAGTATATTGTCAGAAAGGCCCTCATCGACCAACCTATCTAAAGATGGCATTTCCTCTCAAGTTCCCGCCTGCTTGATATTTCTTATTGGCACTTCCTTATACCTGATGGATTTTTGTTTATTGTTGACTCCCTCAAGTGACAAGTCCAGGAGAGCAGGGACTTTGCTGTCTCCTTTCCCTGCTGTAACTTCCTTGCCTAGAGAAGTGCCCACACACAGTAGGTGCTCAGTAAGTACTGCTGAGTGAATAAACTTGGATTTATACAAAGATTTAGCTTCCTGTGGCCTCTTGCCCCATTAGTACCTCCTGGCATCTCGCTTCCTTTTCATTTGACTTTTTGACTAGGTAATAGATTCTGATTCAAAGCAGAAAGTTAGAAAGGCACTCTGTACAGTCTCCCTGAGGCCCATAGTTCACTTATGTTCCTAGCTTCTTACAGAGTTTCTTTATTCATGAATAAGCACATGCAAATATAGGTTCGTATTTTTCTCATTTCCACAAAGAGGAAGACAAGCACACTATTTAGTTCCCATTGTGGACTCTCTTAATGGCTTGATTAGCTTGTGCCTTCCCTCTTGTCTGCTTCAGTCTTTTTTCAGTGGACCTTTCTGAGAGCGAGTATCAGCCAGCTTTGGGTCAGAAGCTCGGCTGGGGCCTGGCCAGCTGTGGTGGGTGCAGTGTCAGACGTGGCTCCTGCCTCAGTGTCAGTGTGTGCCAACAGCTCCTATTAGAAGGCAAGAAGGGCAGGTAACTGCCAGAAAACCTGTGTGCTGTGTGATAGAGGTAGAAGTATACTAGTGTTCCAGTCACAGCAAAGAAGTCCAGGTTGGGCCAGCCGAGTGGCTCAGTTGGTTAAGAGTTGGCTTAAGAACGTGAGCTCTGAGCAACAAGACCACTGGTTTGATTCCCACATGGGCCAGTGATGCTGTGCCCGAGCTGAGCTGTTGGCTGAGCTGCCAACAGGTGGCAGGATGGCTCGGCTGGTGTAACAACAAGATTGCCTGTTCGATGGTGGGCTATGCCCACCCACAACTAAGACTGAACTCGGCACCTTGAGCTGAGCTGCCACCCAGATGGCTCAGTGGATAAGAGCGTGGGCTCTTAACAACAAGGCTGCTGGGTTCGACTCCCGCATGGGACAGTGGCTACGCTTACCCGCAACTAAGATTGAACACGGCACCTTGAGCTTAGAGGACACGAGCTGTCAACGGGCAGCCAGGTGGCGACTGGCACCCTCCACAATGAAGATTGAAGAACAACAACTTGGCTGGTCCCCTTCCCCAATTCATCAACACTGTTCTCCCCCAATTCCCCAATAAAATCTTTAAAAAAAAAAAAAAAAGTCCAGGTTATTTGAGGACCAGACACCCTTCCCTGAGTCTAAAAGACTCGTGTACATATTATATGTATGTACAGAAATCTAAATCTTGGTATCTTTATCTAGAGACTTAATACATAATAACATTATTACTACTTAATAACACCAATACATACTTTGTTACCTTAAGAAAATTTGTGGGGGAGGACCAATACATACTTTGTTACCTCAAGAAAATTTGTGGTCTGTGGACCGTCCATTTGCAGCCTCTGGTCTAAAGAACCTTTGTGTTTCCTTTTGGATTGTTTATTTCAGATCTTCTAAGGACAGTCCCAAGAGTCAGAGCAGAAATGTATGATGACATTCACAGTGACAGTAGATACACTCTGGGTGGATCCGTAGGTCACTCTCGAGATGCTGGGAGAGAAGCCCTGAGAGGTGATGTGTTTCCGGGGCCTTCTTTCAGATCAAGCAACCCTTCTGTAAGCGAAGACAACTACTTTCGCAAAGAGTGTGGCCGAGATCTGGAATTTTCCCACCCTGACTCACGAGACCAGGTCTTTGGCCACCGGAAATTGGGACATTTCCGTTCTCCGGACTGGAAATTTACACTCCGTGGCTCTTGGGAACAAGACTTTGGCCACCCAGTTTCTCAAGAATTGTCTTGGTCACAGGAATATAATTTTGGTCCTTCTGCACTACTGGGGGACTTTGGCTCCTCCAGACTGATTGAGAAAGAGTGTTTGGAGAAAGAGAGTCGGGATTACGACGTGAACCGTCCAGGGGAGGCAGACTCTGTGCTCCGAGGCAGCAGCCAAGTCCAGGGCAGAGGCCGAGGTCTAAACATAGTTGACCAGGAGGGTGCCCTCCTAGGAAAGGGGGAGACTCCGGGCCTGCTCACACCTAAAGGGGAGGTCGGGAAACTTGTCACACTGAGAAGTGTGAGCACAAAAAAAGTACCCACTATAAATCGTATTACTCCCAAAACTCAGGGCACCAACCAAATCCAGAAAACCACCCCAAGTTCTGATGTGACCCTAGGGACAAACCCAGGGATGGAAGAGATCCAATTCCCTACTCATAAGATCCCTCTGGGGCTCAATCTGAAGGACATTCGCCTCCCCAGAAGAAAGATGAGCTTTGACATCATAGATAAGTCTGATGTATTTTCAAGATTTGGGATAGAAATAATCAAATGGGCAGGATTCCACACCATAAAAGATGATGTTAAATTTTCCCAGCTTTTCCAGACTCTCTTTGAACTTGAAACTGAAACCTGTGCTAAAATGCTCGCCTCATTCAAATGCTCCTTAAAACCAGAGCACAGAGATTTTTGCTTTTTTACTATCAAATTTTTAAAGCACTCTGCATTGAAAACACCCAGAGTCGATAATGAGTTTTTAAATATGCTTTTAGACAAAGGTGCTGTGAAGACCAAAAATTGCTTTTTTGAAATCATAAAGCCCTTTGACAAGTATATAATGAGGCTTCAAGACCGGCTTCTGAAGAGTGTCACACCTCTGCTCATGGCCTGCAATGCCTATGAGCTGAGTGTCAAAATGAAAACCCTCAGTAACCCCCTAGACTTGGCTCTTGCCCTGGAGACCACCAATTCTCTCTGCCGGAAGTCTTTGGCCCTTTTGGGACAGACATTCTCCTTGGCCTCTTCCTTCCGTCAAGAAAAAATCTTAGAAGCTGTCGGCCTCCAAGATATAGCTCCCTCTCCTGCTGCATTTCCAAACTTTGAAGACTCCACTCTATTTGGGAGGGAGTACATTGATCACCTGAAAGCCTGGCTGGTCAGCAGTGGGTGTCCACTTCAGGTCAAGAGAGCTGAATCCGAGCCAACTCAAGATGAGGAGAAAATGGTTCCTCCTACCAAACCTGAAATTCAGGCCAAGGCTTCAAGTGGTCTGAGTGATGGTAAGGAAAGCAGCAAACGTTTTTATTTGTTGTGATTGGTTTTTCATGTTTTCTTGTAATGTCTTCTATTCTCTTTGAGGTTTTTACATCGAAGCTCTTTAGCCAACTGGAAACAAATCAATGTTAGCAGAAAACTCACATTGGTCAGTGTCTACCATTCATTCCATAAGCATATCTGACAAATCTTCTGTCTGCTGTCGAAGTCCTTAGACATTTCTGGGTTATAGGCTCCTTGGAATCTGATGAAAAGCTGCAGCCCTTGCCAGGAAAAATACACGTATATTTGTATACAATTTTTCTTGCATTTCCTGGGGGGTTTGTACCATCCTGCAGGCAAGGTTAAGAAGTCCTTCAGGGTCCCCTCTGAAGTATTCCTAAAAGGAAAAGTAAACACTGGGCCCTGTCTCTGAAGAGCCCCACGCTCCTGAGGTGATGAAATCAACAAAAAGTAGTCCCTCCTGTGATGGGATTAAGGGAAAAGTAGGAAAGATCCCAGCCTAGCCCAGCCTGGAGAGTTGGGGAAGCCAAAGGGAGGCAGTGTTTGAGCTGTATTGAGGGACAGACAGGGCTCAGCCAGGTCTATCCAGGTGGCGGAGGCACCTGCTCACTTTTCTAGACTGGCTAAAAGTCGACAAATCACTTAGGTAGATTTGGTAATCTGCAGTTAACAGTCAGCTTACAGGGAAGGGTGCAGGCCAAGAAGGAGGTAACAGACATGACTGGATGTTTGGTGTCCCTTTTCCCTCCCGCTTAGCTCCCAATATGGCTGCTCTCACAGCCCAAACATCCTAGGGCCCGTGAGCATATGTAGGGGCCATGTCCTCTTTCCTCCTGATGTGGTTTTCCATTTCCATTGCCCCAGCCCAGTGAGGAAGTCACATTTGTCCCTGAATCTCTTCACTCTACACCCTGGTAGAGACCCAACTGCACGGACACTAGTAGGTCCCACTACAGAGGGGTGGCCACACCTACTTCCAGAGAGGGAGTTTTCCAGGAGGGGACTCAGGGCTGAAGTGAGCCGCCTCCTCCACACACACCCCCCAAACTGATGGAGCAGAAAGTCGGTATAACAATGATACTTGAGGAAAATGTCCCCCTCAACCTAAAGCTGCCCACCACCATCCCCTAGTGGTACTGCTAGGCACACGGGCCTGCTATTGCAGGCTTACTGTACTGAAAACACTATTGCCTGTCCTTTTACAGGACTGTCAAAGGCCCTTTTCTGTGTTTCTACAGCATTTGCTGCATCATGATATGACCTAACATAAATGACCTCCCCTTTCCCTTGATGTTGGACTCGTGCTGCCTTTTATTAGAGGCTTCTGAGGCCAGGCAGAACTGGGTTCCCTTGTAATTGGCGCCTACAAGCCTTGGCTATCTGGACAGTGGGTGGATGGTGCCAGCACGGCCCCCACCCATGTTTCCGTTACTGTTAGAAATGCTGGGATGAGACCTTTGGTTAAATTTGTTGATTATTATTATTATTTTTAATTTTTATTTTTAAATCCTCCTTTAGAGGATACAGTCTCAGGGGAAGGATTGCTGGGACCCACTTTTTGGCCCTTGCCATGCTCACCTTCTTTAGAGATGGTTGCAGTGACCCACAGATTGTGTTTCTCTCTGAAACCTTCTGTCTTTTGAAAAATCATGTAAAATTAGCAGTTCTGTAAAATGAGAGCCAAGAACAAAAAAGAAAGCAATTTCAAAAGGGAAATACTTGCAATAACATGACAATTGAAAGATCGACTTGTCCTGTATAAAAAGCTCCCACTGGTGTTTAAAATAAGCTCAAAGCTACGCTTCAGACAAAGGCAAGGACAGGATAGTGCAATTACTCCACAACAAACTGGAAAACCTCTCCAGTTCAGGGGTGGTTTCTATTGAATAAGTGAGCATTTTGTATTAAATAGACCATTCTGTGCTATTAAAACGAGCAAATATTAGAAAGCTAAACAATCTTATTATTTAATGACACAGATGCTCTTCTTTGTTGCTGGTGGCAATGTAAATTATAACCACATTGGAGGAAATTCATACTTTAAAAAATGCTTTCTTTTCATCCAGCAAATATTTTCTGTGAACACCTACCTTGGAACCATTGACTTCTTTAATTGGGAAATTTTTCTTTGTAAATTTATGTTTTCTGATTACAGAACACGTATATGTTTTGTAGATAAAGCACAAAGAAAATGAAATCCTGTTAAATCTACCACCCTACATAATGTCTTTTAATTTTCTGATATATTTCCTTCTATTTTTTTTTGTATGTGCTCATATTTATGTATTTTTTTCTTCCCTTATTCCTATTAGGAATCACAACCTAGATAAACTTTTTACATATTTTATACCTAAATACATTTTATATTTTTATATTTTCTTCTAATATTGTGAACATTCGAGTTAGGTGACACACGAGAAGTGGTACGGAGTTGCTACATACCATTTCCTTCTGTAGAACATATGCATACAGTGCTCTATACAGTCATTGTAAGCCTGTGACTGTTTCTGTCCTGGTGCTTATGCTGTTACAGCTTTTGGGAGGATATTTTGCATATTGGTTTTTCGAATAACATGCCACTTTGCTCTTTTCAATGCTGGCCTCTCATGAATGAGGATTTTGGTTTCTGGTGCCTGCCTAGGCTCCATCCTAAGCCCCTGACTCTGACCTGGTCTTCCAAGGCCCCACGTGGTCCAGTTTGTTTCTCAGCAAAGCTTTTCTATGTGTTCCAGCCATCCCCCAGCGAGCAGATCACAAGGTGGTGGACACCATCGACCAGCTGGTCACACGTGTCGTTGAAGGCAGCCTGTCTCCTAAAGAGAGAGCTCTTCTCAAGGAGGACCCTGCTTACTGGTGGGTCTTTAAATGTCGGCCCTCCCAATCCTTCCCGTAGAGCACATAGTAACATTTGTGTCACTCTGATGGTGTCCAGAGCAGAGAGTGAGGTGTTTATTTTGAGCAGTGGTGTCGGCCAGTGGGAAGAACATGAGAGAGGGTCAGCTTCCCTTGGGTTCAAGCACCAGCCCTGGCGCAGACCTGCCATGTGGCCTTCCCTCTCCCAGCTTGGAGCTCTGCGTCTCTGCTGTGCTGGTTTAAGGATGAGCTGAGATGTGCATGCAGAGTGGGTGTAAGATGAGGGCTATGTCACAGCAGCTGTTTGTCATCTATTGCTACTATTTGTTAAACTGTCTTCCTTTTGCCTTATTGCCTCTTCACATGAATAGAACAACTTTTTAAAATCAAAGTTTTCATCATAAATGCAATACTTGCTTATACAGAATGTGATGCAGTTGAAAGGTCACTGAGAGCCTGCCATTTGAAGGGTGTCACTTCTGAAAATGACACCTAGGAGCATGCTTGTTGTGTGCTGGTAGCAGAATGCTTCTGTGACTCCAAGGTGACTGGTTTGTGTTGTGAGGCCACCAGGAGCTATGAGCTCCTTCATGGTTGCTGATGATGGAAATGGAGGAGGAATCTACCAGTGCTCAAAGCTCCTCGTTGCCCTGTGGTCATTCTGGGCCAGGATGGGTGACCTGGGTCCAGTTCAGGATCCTTGGTGGAGGCCAGGTGGAGCCTTGGATAGCAGAGAAGCTGTCTCATAGAAATACAGAATTGTATTTGCAGCAGTGATTTGGTCATGCTTGTGTTTTAGCAATGTCCCACTGCACCTGTTTTTTTATCTAGGTTTTTGTCTGATGACAGTAGTCTGGAGTATAAATATTACAAGCTGAAACTGGCAGAAGTGCAGCGGATGAGCCAGACCTCACCAGGAGCAGATCAGAAGCCAGTGGCAGCAGAGTGTGCAGTCCGGGCCATGCTGTACGCCCAGGCAGTCCGGAGCCTCAAGAAGAGGCTCCTCCCAGGGCGGCGGCGGGGACTGCTCCGAGCTCAAGGGCTCCAGGGCTGGAAGGTGAGGAGAGCAACCACCGGGACCCAGACCCTCCTCTCCTCAGGCACCAGACTGAAACACCATAGCCGGCAGGCTCCAGGCTCCTTGCAGGGAAAGCTGCCCCAGCCAGATGGGAGTGATGCTGCCAAGGACTGGCCACCAGACCCAGCCAGACCCTCTTCTCAGGACCTCAGCCCAGAATCCACAGGCCCGTCCCCCAAGCCAGCAGGAGTGGACAAATCCGAAGCCCCTCAGAGCTCCTCTCCCTGCCTATCTGCTGAAGGTGTGTGCTCACCCCTGTCCCTCTGCTCTGGGCCCCAGCCCTGACTCTCCAATCTCCAGGGGTCTCTGCAAAGCGGGGAGGGGGTGGGGGTAGCCTCGGTGGTCTGAGCAGTGAGCAGTGGCAACAGGGACCTAGCTAGGATGGGTGCATAAGGAGGTGCTTTCTCACCTCTTGCTTCCTTGAGGGGGCAGCTGGAGAGTCCTATTGCACCCTTCCTCCTGACCTGAGGGTGCAGCTAACACAGGTTGCTGCCCAGGGACTGCCTCCCCGCAAGGTATTACTACTGACTACCATGTGCCTGAGCCTGGGGCTTTGAGCTTGATCAATTTCTCTCTGTTCTTGCCCTCTTTATATTCCGTAGTGCTGCTCTGTTCTCATTCTTCCTCCTCTCCCCAAGTCTCTTGTGTCCCCACTCAGGGTTAGCTGACCTACAGTTTCTCCTGAAGTTACCAACTTAGCCCCTTCTGTTTCTCCTGGCTGTTACTTTCTTCCTCTGCAATAGGCCTGCCCCCTGTTGCTTCCCACTTAGCACTAGGTAGGAACATAGAGGTGCAAATCTACACAGCTGCTGTACTTTCTAGCTGTTACTATGGAACGAGCAGCTCTAAAACTGTGGCTTCATATAGGAACTAAGCCTGGGTGAGCCTGCGCATGTGTTTATAAGCAGCAGCTGGTTGTCTGGAGCTGGTTGAGGTGATGTCCCTGTCATCCCCCCAGCAGCGAGCTGGGATTGGTTCACCTAAGGTTGGTATCAAGTCTCTGGGAGAGGCAGTGGAGGTGCTCGAGGCTTCTGAGCCCTGGGCTCAGCGCTTCCGCCATATCCATTGGCCAGAAGGTGTCCTGGGGCCAACCCCAGTTCAGGAGAGAAGGGAGTGCACCTCTGCTGGACAGAGCTGCAGTCACATGGCAAAGGGCGAGGCTTCAGGAGGGGACACTAGGGGGCCGTCTTTGTAATCAATCTCCACAGCCCCATCGTGTCCACACAGGAAATGGCAGCTCAGAACCTACGGATGACAGTTGCTTTATTTTGTAGTTGACACAAAGACAATGGAGACTGCAGAGAAACTGGCCAAATTTGTTGCTCAGGTGGGACCAGAGATTGAACAGTTCAGCATAGAAAACAGCGCCGACAACCCTGACCTGTGGTACGTACCCATCACCCGCTTCTGATTTGAATTGTTTGCCCCACAGGTGTCCTGAGAGCCCACAGGGTGTTTTGGCATACATACTCTTGCCCTGGGGGTCACACTGGGAGAAGTCATGACTTCACTTCTGCTGAGTCAGGGCCATGAGGGAAAAGCATCTGTTCTGGGGTATGGGGGTTGGGAGAGAACTGCCTCATTTGGGGGATTGGGAAAAGCTTTCTAGAGGGCTGTTTAAGCTGGAACCTAAGGCCCAGTGGGAGTTCTCCAAGGGAGGGGAGATAGCTCCCTGGGCAGAGGGACAGTGTCCCCAGAACCTGAGCAGAGGCAGATCCTGGGCAGGGTGGGGCACTCCCTCGCCTAAGAGCTTGAGGAAGAGGGGAGCACTGCTCCCTGGTCACACTGGCTACTGTAGGTCTGGTGAGAACTCACTGCTCGTGGAATAATAGTGGTCCGTGGTCCAGGTGTGGGCCACAAGCGTTTCCATGCAGTGCCGGCCTGGTGCTCTTGTGTCGGGAGGGTCACCATTACGCTCCCTTTCCTCAGACTCGGAGGCAGCTCTGCCTCTGGGGAGCAGGTTCTCCTCCTTCAGTGTTCTTGTTACTGAGCTATAACCCTGCTGGGCTCCCCTCAGAGTGATTGGGGAGTATATGAGGAGCAAGTGGGTTTGCGAGCTGTGCACACTGTATCCCACAGCCTGCTGGGGCTCTGGTCCCTCGCCTTGCTCCCAACGTGCTGCAGAGTCGTGCTTTAGTCTAATAAAGAATACAGGTAAAATCTTCACATTTCTGGAAGGCTGACCAAGTGGCTCAGTTGGTTAAGAGTTGGCTTAAGAATGCAAGCTCTGAGCAACAGGGCCACCAGTTCGATTCCCACATGGGCCAGTGACACTGCGCCCGAGCTGAGCTGCTGCTGAGCTGCCAACAGGTGGCAGGATGGCTCAGCTGGTGTAACAACAAGATTGCCTGTTCGATGGTGGGCTATGCCCACCCACAACTAAGACTAAACTTGGCACCTTGAGCTGAGCTGCCGCCCAGATGGCTCAGTGGATAAGAGCGTGTGCTCTTAACAACAAGGCTGCCAGGTTTGACTCCCACATGGGACAGTGGCTACGTCCACCTGCAACTAAGATTGAACACGGCACCTTGAGCTTAGAGGCCATGAGCTGCCGATGGGCAGCCAGATGGCGACTGGCACCCTCCACAATGAAGATTGAAGAACAACAACTTGGCTGGTCCCCTTCCCCAATTCCCCAACACTGTTCCCTTCCCCCAATTCCCCAATAAAAATCTTAAAAAAACACACACACACACACACACAAAAAAAAAAAACTTCACATTTCTTTGAGCATGTGTGAAAACCAGTGGTGACTGAGCGTGATCCTCTAGTTTGTTTGGGACCTTGAGTGGCACTTCACTGGAGGGCCTTCTGCTTCCTGGGAGACCGAGACCAGCTGCCTGGAGCACTGATGGCCTTGTAGGCACTCAGCCTGGTTCTGCTTTTACAGGCTTGGTGACCTCAGGGACTGCCATCGGCAGGCCACAGAGTGGGCCTGCCCATGGCGTGTGGAACCTCACCCTGGCAGGGCCAGGCAAGGGGAACAACTCAGTGCCGACAGCCGGGATTGTTTCATCAATCCTTTTTTCCCCGCATGAAAACTAAAGTTTGCAAGAGAACTGCATCATCCTGAGCACTTGGCACCGCCAGGGCTGGGGGTTATCCTCACTCTGCTGCTTTTTCTGAGCAGTGTTCCTCAGAACATGCTCGCTGTCCCCTCCTTACCTACAGCGAGAGCCCTGGATCCCGCAGCAATATCAAGTGGGGTGATACATTCTGTCCCCCAGTTCTCATAAAATAGTTTGAAACTGACTACACATGGCAGCATGCCTATTTGGTAAATGCCAAGATACCTTTGTGTGTTTTTTTCCTTGGAGGAATTATACCTCTGATGTGCTCAGTAGTCGCTTGAGTTGATTCATTTTGTGTGCATGGCTGTGTCATCAGTTTGATGCACAGTTAGGTTCATTTGTTTCTGCAGAAAAATTAGTTTAAGGGCTTCCCCCCCATCTTTTATTTAATTTTTGAAATAAGTATAGAATTTTCATGGTTATAAACTAAAAATTATAAAAGGTGAGTTCATAAGATGCTGAACAACAGCTCAACCTGGAGCTGGGCTGCCGTGAGTCGCCGGCGACGGTGTAGGCTGCAGCCCCTGTGGCAGTGGGTTGCCATGGGCTACTGTATGTAGCCAGCAGCCACAGTGAGCGGCCGTCCAGAAGCCGGTGACCGACCTACCTCACCCAGGAAGAGCGTAATGATGGTGCCAACTTGGGCCAGTGAAGCAACGTCCTCCACAACTAGACTAAAGAACAAAAAAAAACGACAGCAACTTGTCTGTTCCCCTTCCCCCAATTCCCCAGCACTGTTCCCATCCCCCCAATTCCCCAATTTAAAAAAAAAAAAGGTGAGCTCAGAGAAGTGGGACCACTGTATGGCTGGACCACAGTTACTTAATCCATTCACCTGCCAACAGCATGTGAGGTGTATTCATTTGGGGAATTTTATAGATGAAGCTGCTGTGAGCATTTGTGTACAAGGACTTCTGTGGACACCTGCTTTTATTTCTCTTGGATAAATATCTAGAAGGGGAAAGGCTGGCTCCCATGGTGGGTCCACATTTAACTTTTGAGAAAAGTGCCAAACTGCCTTTCCAAGTGGCTACACTGTTATGCATTTTCAGCAGCCTGGATAGAGTCCCAGCACTTACTAGTATCCATCTTTTTTTAATGTCCCAGTGTGGAGAAGGAGAAGGGGTATCCCACTATGGTTCTCGTTTCTCTGAGGACTGATGGTGCTGAGCATCTTCCAGTGTGCTTATGTGCTTTCCATATTTCTTTAGTGAAGTGTCTGTCCAAATTTTTGGTCCGTTTTTTGATTGGGTTGTTTATTAGCAATGAATTTTGAGAGTTCATTATATATTCTTGATACAAGTCCTTCATCAGATGATTTGCAGACGTTTTCTCCCGGTCTATAACTTGTCTTCTCGTTCTAGCTGGATCTTTTGGAAGGTAGACGTTCTTAACCCTTTCCTCTATTGGGCTTTTTTGGCTTTTTCTTTTTTTTTTTTTTTTTAAAGATTTTTATTGGTGAATTGGGGGGATGGGAACAGTGCTGGGGAATTGGGGGAAGGGGGACAGACAAGTTGCTGTCGTTTTGTTCTTCAGTCTAGTTGTGGAGGATGTTGCTTCACTGGCCCAAGTTGGCACCATCATTGCGCTCTTCCCGGGTGAGGCAGATCAGTCGCCGGCTTCTGGACGGCCGCTCACTGTGGCTGCTGGCCGCTCACGCTGGCTGCTGGCTACACACGGTAGCCCATGGCAACCCACTGCCACAGGGACTGCAGCCCACGCCGTCACCGGCGACTCACAGCAGCCCAGCTCCAGGTTGAGCCGTTGTTCAGCATCTTAGCTGTAGAGGGCAGTGTCACTGGCCCTCATATGTGGGATCCGAACTGGGGCCCTCTGGCATCCCAAGCGAGTTCTTAACCATCGTGCCACTCGGCCGGCCCTTTTTTGGCTTTTTCTTTCTTGATTTTTAAGAGCTCTTAATCTGTATAGTTGTATATATTTCCTTCTTATTTTGACGTTTATCTTTTATTTTGCGTATGGGATGTTCTGCAATGCAGAAGTGTTTCATGAAGACAGATTTCACAATTTTTTCTTCTATTGCACCTGTATACTGAGTCATAGTTAGAAAGAATCTCCCCACACTCAGGTTGTAAAGACATTTACATACTTTTCTTCCAGAACTTGTATGGTTTGTTTTTTGCATTTAGATCCCCCCGATCTGTGTTGGGTTACCTGGGAGCAGAGGGTGCAGCATGGATCCAATTTAAATATTCAACAAATGGTCCCAACACCATTTTTTGGAAAGGCTTTTTTTCACAGTGGTTTCAGAAGCCACCTTCATCAGATGCTGTGTGGCCTTTGTGGCCTTTATCTTGGTTTTTCTGTCCATCTGTCCGTGGACCAGTACCATGCCGTTTTAACTATAGAGACTTCACATACCTTGTTATATCTTGTGGGTCTTGAGCAGAGTTTTCCCAGGTGTTCTTGAATGTTCATTTTTCTTTATGAACTTTAAAATCATCTTGTCCAGATCCAGAAACAAATGATGCTTTTATTGGGATAGTTTTCGACCTTAACTAGAGGAGAATTCACATCTTCATGAGGTCGAGTTGTCCTGTTCAAGTACAAGAGCCATCTTTCCTTTGGTCCAAATGTATTTTGTGTCTTTGGGTGTGTTTTGGTTTTCTACACCAGCCACAGCCTCTGGCTGTGGCTACGAGTCAAGGTGGCCCTCAGACTCAGAGGCACAGAGAGCCTTTATCACCACCATATTTATGCAACTTTTCTGCAGGACGTGAGGCAGGAGGTGCTGCAGGTGATACACTTCCTCCATCTCGTACCTGGGAGTGTGAGACGGACCTGAGAGTCACAGGGAGCACTCAGAGGCCCATAAAGGCCATTGATGTCACTGGAAAGGAATGAGTGAGGCCTGGTTGGATCCCTGGGCTACAGTATTGGAGCTCATTCCAGCACGTTCCCTGGTCATCCCCATAACCTTGTTCCTCCACCTTCCTTCCCCAAAAAGCAATTAGGCCTCACATTCTGGCTCCTCAAACTTTCTCGCTGGGACACTGCACCATCAGCCATAGCTGGTAGAAAGAGGTCAGTTTCGCTCCTTTGTCCCACCCCCAGTATTGTCAAGTCCATTCGGAGAGTTCAGCAAATAAGAATACTCAGAGGACCCTCTGGTTAACCAGTGTATGTCATCTTTATCCAGGTTTCTCCATGACCAAAATAGCGCAGCTTTCAAATTCTATCGAAAGAAAGTATTTGAACTCTGCCCATCCATTTGTTTTACATCATCTCCGCTGAACCTCCATGCCGGTGAGAGCACCCTAGAGCCTGTGGAAGGGGAAGGAGAGTTTGAGGATGAGGCCCCTCAGCAGGAGGCTGAGCTGGAAAGCCTAGAGGTGATGCCTGAGGAGGAGGACGACGACGAGGACGAGGAGGATGAGGATGAGGAGGGGGGCGAGGAAGCCTCCGCTTCTGGAGGGCCCTCCAGGAGGGCTGGAGGGGCTGCCAAGTCTGAGGGCTCTGAGGACAGCCCCCCTGCTGATGGCCTCCCGAGCGAGGCAGCTGAAGATGGCCCAGCTGACACGCCTGCCCTGTCACAGGCCTCCTTGGGAGCCTGCTTCCCCCGGAAGAGGGTCAGCAGCAAGTCACTGAAGGTCGGCATGATTCCAGCTCCCAAGAGGTTGTGTCTCATCCAGGAGCCCAAAGGTGAGTGCCTGCCATTGGTGCAGTGTCCCACACTCTTTTTTTTTTATTATTATTTTTATTATGAAATGCACATTTTTTAGAATTAGTTTCAGCTGTACAACACAGTGCAATAGTTATACTTTTTACCCCTCGCAGTGACAGCCCCCCTCCCCCAATCTGCCGCCCCACTTCCCCCCAATATCATACATATCTATTGCAATTCCCTTGACTCCACTCCCACACTATACTCCATGTCCCATGACCATATATATATATATATTCACTTATAGTTGACATACAATATTATACAACATCAGCTTCAGGTGAATAGTGCAGTGATCAAGCCTCTTCCCCATCCATGATGTAAGACGTGACCACCTGACACCCTACAAAATATTTACAACATTATTAATTATATTCCTCGAACTGTCTTTCATGTCCCTGTGGCAATATTGTAGTTGCATATTTATGCTGTCTAACCCCTTCCCCTTCTCCCTCATCCCCACCCCCTCCCAACTAACAGCCATCAGTTGTTCCTCTATATCTCTGAGACCACTTCTGTTTACTTTCCTCGTTCATTCAGTTTTTTAGATTCCACATATAAGTGAAATCATATGGTATTTGTCTTTCTCCGACTGACTTATTTCACTTAACATAATAGTCTCTAGTTCCATCCCATATCGTCCCATGTCCCACACTCTTTAGCACCTAAGGAGGAGTTAGTGGTGCTTGGTTGTAGAGATAGGTAGAGACATTGCCTGACTGTTTTTGAAGAATTTACTGGCCCTTAGCCCAGGCTCAGCCACAAGATAACCAACTGGCCCCTGTCATCCTTCTCATATCTGATTCCACCACCAACCTGGACGTTACCTCCCAAATCCTCCCAGGCTCCACTCAATATGGGGTTCTTTGGTCTTGTATTTTTAACCTAAAACAGTCCTAGAGGTTTGCACACCACTCCAAGTGTTCATATGAAACTCATGTTTCTAGTCGGTCTAATGTTGATACTCTTAAGGAGATGCTGCTATGTAGTCTGTGGCTTCTAGTGCCCCACATGCTCCTCAGGTTTCCATTATTGCTCGGATTCCAGCAGGGGAACCCTGGCCATGGAGAGGACAGGTCATCTCAGCCATTTCCTGCCCATGGCCTTGGGGAATGTGCAGCCTTCTCAGTCAAGGAAGGCCTGGGGTAGTGACATCTGCTTATAGTGAGGATGCAGCAGGAGGACTCGGGACTGGGCGGGTCTTGGACAGCTGTTAGCGGGAGCCTTGTGCTCCATGGAGGCCATCACCCCTCCTGTGGGGAGGCTCAAGGTTCTTGAAGTACAACTTACCAATCATAAAATGCATCCCTTTCAAGTAGACAGTTCGAGGAGTTTTGGCAAATGTGTATAGCCATGAACCCACCAGTACAGTGGAGCTGGAGCCCGTCCCCAGAAATTCAGTGTCCCTCTGCAGTCCCCTCCCCTCCCCAGCCCCCAGCAATCACTGACTGTTTTCTGGCTTTGTGGTTTTGCCTTTTCTAGACTTGTTAAGTGGAATTGTATCGTGTGTGGCCTTTTGATGAGCTGGTCGTGGCCCAGGTTACTCCTCATTGCTCCTGCTCAGCCAGGTGTCTGCACAGCCAGGCCTAGGCTGTGCTTAGAGTGTGGAGCTGATGTTGCAGTACCTGCGTGTGAAATGGTGGCAGTGAACATTGTCCCGTCATGTGTCACCTATGTTTTCTATGTTATTGACACTGTCACATTCACACCTAGCAGTGTCGATATAGTTTCCCACTAACAGTACAATCCGTTGTTTGTGTTTGGAAACTTTGGCATTGCAACGGATTGCTAACTGTTCTACCAAACTCTACGTCCTTCAGAACTTACTGCAGATGGTAGTAACATATCAGAATGCTTAACTTTGTCCTTTGTGGGGGGAAGTGATATCTTATTTTGGAAGCTCTCAGTTCTTTAATGAGTGGTTGATGAGACAAAACCCCTTTGTGAAAAATAATAATAATAATGTGATTCGGAGTTTTGTATAAGAAGCATGATTGTTTTTGCTGGAAAGTTCTGTGTGGACTTTAATTCTTTATCAGGGGAATAGTCGCAGAGACACTGGAGGGCACAGTGTTGCATATAGTTCTTATGTGAAGCAAAGTGTATTCCTGCGGTCATGGAGCACAATCCATGAATCAGGTCCTTCGTCATAAACGTAGGCACCTTATGTTTAAGGAAATTCTCTCATAGCAGGGAGCCCTCAGTTGAGCCCACACATTCAGCCTGTGTGTTCTGGGGTCCTGAAGTTCCTGAGAGGAGCCAGGCCAAGCTGCTGGCCTTGTGCAGGTTGTAACTACCTTCTGTCAGGAGTGGGGCTATTGGCCCAAACCGCGGCACCCTCATTTTATTTCTCAGTAATCTGGAGAAAGCTTATATAGGTGTGTACATATGTTTCTTTTGTCTTCCAGTTCACGAACCAGTTCGCATTGCCTACGACAGGCCTCGGGGTCGTCCCATATCCAAAAAGAAGGTGAGTGTGACCATTTGCGAGTCCTCACATGTCACATAGTCAGTTGGAATTTGTCAGAGTCTCAAAGGACACTGTGGCTGGTGATTGAGCTGTACTCATACTTCAGATTGGGTGTTAATGTACAAAGCACATTTGCCGGGACTTCTGAAAACTATTTAGCTTTGTGCAAAAGCACAGGAGGGTAGTCCATAACAGATAGTTGGGGCTTGATATGTGCAATGGAATGGAGAGATAAACTTGATAATGTCTTAGCCCTCGAGGCATTCAGATTCACTGGTTGGCACCTCCTATGCTCCGGGCCCCACATCCCACCCTGGGGCAGCAGCAAGCAGGGCCGAAATGTGCGGGACTGGGTCGTGGGGCGGTGCTGTGGGTACCAAGAAGCAGGTCATCGGAGCACAGGGAATAAGGTGGGGCCAGGGATTCCATGTGAGCAGGAAAACCAGGGAAAGTCTCCCTGAGAGGTGACATTTGTTCAGTCATCTAGGGAGGGCTCTGGAGAGGCACCAGGGTAGGCAGGGAGCTTTTTGGGCCCAAGTGAAGTGATTGAAAATGGGGAGGTGAGTACCCAGTAGAGGTAGTGAGGACCCAGGTCACTCAGGCCTGTAGACAGATGTCAACACTATGACTCTTCTTTGGGGAAGGCCCTCAGGGACCGGTGGTGGGGTTTAGACAAAAGATGTGGCCACTGTGGTTGGTGTGTTGAGAGCAACCTGTAGGATGGGGGCCAGGCAGAGCCAGGGATAGGAGGGGTGAAGGTGGACCCGGTGGGACTCGCAGATGGATTAGATGTGGAACAGCGAAAGCCAAGAGTCCAGGGAGACCCCAGGGTTGTCGGCCTAGGCAGTTACGGGGATGGAGCTGCCAGTGGCTGAAGCAGGGTGCTCCTGTGGGGAGCAGGTCACCAGAAGGAGATGGGGGTTAATTCCAGATGGTCAGGCAAAGTCACCTGGGATACGTGAAGACATCATAGGTCCCTAGAAGTCAGGGAGATGAGCAGCGGCCCCCAAGGAGTCAGACCCGTTCTGAGTGCAGCACCAGTCTCAGCAGCCAGATGAAGCATCACTGTGACCCCAACTACAGCAGGAGGAAGGGCCTTCCTGTGCCTGGAACTGGTGGTCCTGCTGGTGCATTGGGTTTTAAGCTGAGCCAGCACCCAGGTACCCGGTGAGGGGTCAGCCGAGTTCAGGTTCAGGCTGGCCACCTAATCTTGGCATGTAACCCCTGAGCCTCCATCTGTACATCGGTAAAATGGGGCAGTAACACCTACCCTGCAGGTAGAAAATACCTTGAGGATTAAACGAAATGCATGTTAACCCGATACGCGGGTCTCCTTGGGGTGACTGTAGGAAGGGAGGAGGCCTTGCCTGAAGTTCTCTGTGTACACCTCAACCCAAAGAGACCAGACAGAATGATTCTTAGACACAGATTGAAAGCTTACAAGACCTGTCCAGGCCGAGCTGACCCCTTTTCCTTCCATTGCTCCCACCGAGCACTTTGCTGCAATGGGGTGGGCCTGCTGTTTGGGGACTCTTGGCCAGCCTTTGCCCTGCCTCCCCCACCCTCCCTTTGTCCTAGCTGTTCTTCTCTGGGCCTGGAAGGGCATGCTAGACACCCCCTTGTCACCTCAGTGGCAGGTTCCACCTCCTCTGTTCTCCAGGTCACTTCTGATGGTGGGGGGTCCCCCAGGACTGCAACTCCTGCCCATAGTTCCCCTGGCTTCCCCCTGTTCTTCAGCCTGCACACGTCTCTTCTGCACTGCTGTTAGTCCTCTCTTCCTGCCCCAGCCAACAGCAAGCTCCTCCTTCCCTGAGTCCCTGTGTGCCTCCTTAAATGTCCTTCAGATGGACTTCGGCCCACCATCCTGCCAAGGCTCCTGGTACCCTTACCTCCCAGCTACCCCAGCTGCTTTCAGTAACTCATGCACACACACGCTGCTTCACATCTCAGGCCGTACTTCACTTCTTGTCGCTGAACTCTCAGTGCCCCTCTAGGTTGTTTTGTCCCTTCTAGGATGAGAACAAGGTAGGAGACCATGGCTCAGTCGTGAGTGTCTGGGGAGTCAGAGAGGCATGGGGGGGATGTCAGTGCTAGACCATGCTGGGGACCCTCACTCCGGGCGCTTTGCTGCTGCAGCCCACATGTCGCACTCTGCTCTTTCCTCAGAAACCCAAGGACTTTGACTTCGCCCAGCAAAAGCTGACTGACAAGAACCTGGGGTTCCAGATGCTGCAGAAGATGGGCTGGAAAGAGGGCCACGGCCTGGGCTCCTGTGGGAAGGGCATCAGGGAGCCTGTTGGCATGTACGCAGCAGGAGCTCGGGGTGGGGGTGGGGGAGTGCATGTACCTGGGAAAGAGGCTTTCTTCGGGATTCTGGTCCTAAGTCCTTTGACCTGCAGCCTAATTCTTGGTTCCCCTCACATTGAAATGGTTTGACGTTGGCAGTTATTTTTTTAGCAAGGGGAGTCTTCAGATGAGATGAGAAGCAGACATTTCCATAGGCAAATGTTCACCCGGCTACTTGCTCTGCTTGTGCAGATTTTTTAAATGGCTCCTTGTCCTCTGGCATTTTGGCCACATTTATTATTATAAAAGCTGAGTGGTGATTCTGGGTAGTTATACCAAGAACCATTTTCCCTTTCCTGGGAACCCATATGCAGGCCTGCCAAGTGGGACCCAGCCCAGAATTGGTTAAGCCCATTAATGGCCACAGCAAACGTTTCACTTACAACTGAGCTTAGCACCTATGGGGGGGGGGGCTTACTGCTGTAATTGGGCTCCTGAGCACCCACATAGGCAGATACCCCTGTTTGCTGTACAGATTGCATCTACACTTTCCCTCTCCGCCGTCACTATCATATGTCCCACATACTTCTGTCCACTCTGACTGCCTAAGCCATTTCCAGTCTCATGGAGGCCAGATCTGGGTGTGGGTGTGGCTAACTCTCCACTTTGCTCTCTAGGGGAACGGCCTCAGAAGGGGAGGGGCTGGGTGCTGACGGGCAGGAGCACAAGGAAGACACGTTCGACGTGTTCCGTCAGAGGATGATGCAGATGTACAGACACAAACGGGCCAACAAATAGGTACGTGCACAAGCTGTCGCATCAGGCACCCTGCCTAAGCCAGCATTCTGACAGCAGCAGCATTTCCTCCAGAAAGTCAGTATTCCCCATATCCCCAAAACCAAACATCAAAGTTCCACACAAAAAAATCTGAAAATTCTGTGAGGGAAACAAAAGGGAGTTTTTGGATGTGATGTGTTCCCCTTCTCACCTTCCAGGTTCGGCTACAGGAGTGAGTCCCATGCTCCCTGAGCACAGCTGCATGGGGCCTGCCTGCGGGGCCTCGGTGCAGGGCTCCCAGGCTGCCCCAGGAGTGGCTTTGTGTCCCATAAGTGTAAGGGCATCCTGGAAGCTGGCCGCAGAGTATGGTCACTTTGTTTCCCTCTCTGAGGGTCTTCAAATCCTCTTCCTTCTGAAGGGCCTTGGGCCTGCCAATGTCTTCATCTTCTCCTCTTTTTAGTTGCCCTCCCCACCCGTAATTTCCAACTTGGTTTTGAACAAAATCATTCTCTCCTTGAATAGATGAAAACCATTGGTGAGAAAGATAAGCCCTGAAGCAGCAATTACCCTAAAAACGCCACCTCTGTCCCGGATCCACCGTGGAGCCAGTTCCCAAGTTGGTTTGGTGTGTACACGAGAAGCAAATGTATCTGCAATTGCTGGTGTGGAGGTTCTGCTGGCTTTTCTTAAAGAAAAAAAAATGCACCATTTCCAGTCTGCTTTTGCCTTTCCTCCTCTTCCAGGTGCTTTGGGCAGCAAGCGCCCTCGTCTTTCCTGGTTCCTTCTCGGAAGGTGGTGCTGCCCGGGCAGCACCAGGGGCTTGGGAACCAGCTCCTGTCTGTTTTCCCATCCAGAGCATGTTGCTCCCCAGAAGTGCCCTGTTAGCAGACTTGATGCTAAAATGATGACCAATTGTGTCTTCTTGTTTCCAGAATTTAAACAGGATGTAATCTGTGCTCTGGCACCACAGCCTGTCAGTGGGAGCGCTGAAGCTCTTTGAACAAGTGGAGATACTTGATTCCACGAACATATTATTTTATGGAGTCTCACCTCTTAGCAACAGTATAATAGAGCTGTATTCAGTGGGGAGTAGTCACTACACTGATGAAACTTTCCCCAGATCTAAAGATCTCTTTAGAATCCACAAAGAAAGCCACAGTCTGATTTTTCTTTTTAAACCATATAATGGAATCTCCTACAATGGAGTGGGGTAAGTTCTTCGAGACTCTTCATTTTTTGCATGTGTGGCAGTGGAAAGAATTGGGTTTTTTAGGGCTCTTATACAGAACAGCAAGGATGTTCATGGGGTGGGCTCTGCAGCTGTTTGCCATTCAAGGCGTATGATTGCCACCCCCTTCCAGTTTCTCCCAGCGCTTTGCAACTACATGCGAAATTCTCAGGCTGTGGGAATCTCAACCCTTCCTCCTAAAGCAGCAGTGTTGAAGTTTTAAATGTGTGCTAAAATCTGGAAAACTTGGTCCTACTGATAGTACAGCAGTGAGTTGCTGTGTCAGCTGCTTTTATTGGCTATTAAAACCTTGCTGTCTCAGAGCACAGACCTCCCAGCTGTGGTCCCAGCTCCTCTGGTCTGTCTTGTCTGTCCTGTCATTCACTGTAGCATCTCGCCTGCCTGGTGCCGCCTCTCTTAATGTTGGGTGTTGCCCCCAGATCTCTGCCTATTTCTGGTCACTTCTGTTGCTTTGGCAGCTGGCAGATCTTTATGGCCGTGGCAATGATGGTTGTCCTTCAGTAGAGGTGAACCCGCCTGCAGGGGTGGTGTGGTTTGGGGAACCACGGCTGTGGAAGCTCATCTTCTGCTCCTCTCTTTCCTAATCCTTCCATCAGCCTTCCATGTTGGCCATGGGTTGGGCCACGGGATGGAACTCTGAGAACAGGGCCTTGGTCCCTGTGGCCTGTCAGAGCGCCTGTGGGCGAGACATGCACCTTTTCTCTTTCTCTCGAGCACAGCTCTGTCATATTCTCTCTGACTGTTGAATTCACTCTGTCCTAGTGTGTTCATTCTTGGCTTTCTCGGCTTTTATTCACAAGCAAAATGCTTTAGGAATTCCCAGGGAATTCCCTGTTCCTATAGCCTCCTGACACTCCTCCTCCTGGGGACATCCCGCTTTCAGCTGACAGTGAGCCTTTGCCAAATGTTAAAGGAAACAGCTACTTCTTGAGCCTGGAAAGTCCTCTGGGCACTCAAGTGATGCTTCTTCTGTGGAGTCAGCACTGAGGCGTTGCGGACGCCGGGGCAAAGTATTGGCAGTGCGCCCTGGGCCAGCTGCCGGCCGGGACCCAGTGTGCTGGCCCTCTGTGCCACCGTGCTGTCTCGGCCAGACCGCTCTGCAGGGAGTGTGCGAGCGCGTGTGCGGGTATGTGGCCTTGTCAAAGTCACAGCATCTTTTCTGTCATTCTAGTTCCAGGGTCTCCCCCGTGAGGACGACAGGCATCCGGAAAGTACTAACTCACCACTTTGGGTGCTTACTGTCTGGAATCAGATAGAGAATTTTAGTGTTTTTGGTCTTTGGTAAAACCTAGAAGACATTTGTGATGTTACAAAATGGAAGTTTTTGGGTGTTTTTTTTTTTAAATCTATGAAGTTGTGAATGTTGTTAATCATTTAGCAGTTGCAATAAATGTAGAGGAACCCAACCTTCCACAGTCTCCATTGGTGTGTTTTTAAAATCAGGCCAGTTGGGGATGCACGGTGGATGTGGTACCTACAGGGAACCAGACTATAAGCACCCTGCCTTAGGACACATCCTCTGCCTGCAGGGGCAGGAGCCTGGTCAATCTCTGGGAAAGCCCAGAGAGCAGATGGTGATCAGGGAGGGGGTGGGCAGGCCCTTCTCTCTCTCTCTCTCTCTCTCTCTCTCTCTCTCTCTCTCTCTCTCTCTCTCTCTCTGTGTGTGTGTATGTGTATGGGGCGGGAGAGCAGTTAGTACTGAGAACAGAAACCCGCCTTCGAGAGGGTGTCTGGATGTGGGAGCCCTACCCTAGCTGCTCATGACTGCCTGCCCCACACAAGGTTTTGCTCACTTCCAGGGTTGGGGTTCCAGCTATTAGAGATAGACCAAAGCCCACCTAGGCCTCCCCCTGACCAAGGAGCTGGCCTGTGGGTTTCTTCAAAGCTCCTTGCTGTCCCCGTGTGCTGCCAGCCTCTGTCTGATTCCTCACCAGCTTCCCCTGACCCTTCAGGTTGGGGGAGAGGGCAAAACGCACAGCAGATGGGCAAGCCTGGCACCTGTGGGCCTGCAGGGGCCTCCGCCTGAGCACAGCATGACAGGCAAGAGCCAGGCTCTGTTGTATTCAGGTCAGCAGGGAGCCTGGGAAGGGTTGGGATAGGGGTAGTCTGTTGTCAGGTTAGAGGGGGACAGACGACAGGGCCCCATAAGAAGCTGATGTGGGACCCCTGAGTCTCCCTTCTCCCCACTGTTGTCCTGGAGGACACTCAACAGTGGTGGGGACCCACCTAACCATGATGGGAGCTACTGTCAGCCCAGAACCTCCCACACGTTTGCCTTCCTTCACCAAAGCCTAGGGGGCAGGTGAGATGTGTGACGTAGGCGTTGGTGCCATTCCCCAAGAAAGTTACCCAGAACCCACAACCACCCCACCCGCTCTGGGGAGACTGGAAGTAAGGAAGGAGCAGTCAGAATTACTCTCCAGTACCCCCCACCCCCAGCTCACTTTTCACCACCAGGCTGGTGAAGGTCATTTAAAGGAGGACATGGCCAGGCTTTGACCTCAGGCCTCAGTTTCCCCTTTGCATTCTGGGAAGGATTTATTCCAATTCAGAAGGTAAATTTCCTCTGCTACCTTGTAATTTAGGGCTAACTAGGACCTAAACATGCCACTCCCCTTCTCCTCAGCCTCTCTGCCTAGAAGCCTGGGTGCCCCAGGGCCCTGTGAGAGGCAAAAGGCGCTGCTGGAGAGACTCCAGTCTCCAGGTTTAAGGCAGGCCTTTGTTTGGCATGCATGCTTGCACATGTGCATCCATGTGTACAATATGTGCATGTGTAACATGCAAACACGCACAGTGAAGCAACATGAATAATACATTTTCTTTGTGAAAGGTAAAGAAAAACCCAGATATATATAAGAACAAAACACAAGAGTTTCACCCTCTTTCCCACTCCCCCATAACAATAAAATAAAAAATTTTTTTTCCTCTCTTTTTTTTAATTGGGGCATTGGGGGATGGGAACAGTGCTGGGGAATTGGGGAAGGGGAACAGACAAGTTGCTGTCGTTTTGTTCTTCAGTCTAGTTGTGGAGGACGAGGCAGATCAGTCGCCGGCTTCTGGACGGCCACTCACTGCGGCTGCTGGCCGCTTACGCTGGCTGCTGGCTGCTGGCTACACACGGCAGCCCATGGCAACCCACTGCAGCAGGGGTTGCAGCCTACACCGTCTCCAGCAACTCACGGCAGCCCAGCTCCAAGTTGAGCTGTCCAAGTTGAGCTGTTCAGCATCTTAGCTGTAGAGGGCAGTGTCACTGGCCCTCATGTGGGATCCGAACTGGAGCCCTCTGGCGTCCCAAGCCAGCTCCCAACCAATGCGCCACACGGCCGGCCCTAAAATAATTTTTTAAATAAGACACACCATGCATGCTGCTTGGAGACTCGCTTTATCTTGTGACAAGGTCTCAGCAGTCTTGCCATGTGAGTAAATGTTCAAGTGCTATTTGTGAATAAGTAACACCGGCCAGAATCCAAAGGTGCAGACATGTCTTCTGTGGAAAAATTAGTCTCCCAGATCTGCAGCACCAGGTCTCAGGTCTCTACGTGTAGACTATTGTCGGGCACATTTCAGATATAACTTGAAGATGCAAATTACACTTCACTGCACGTGCTACTCTTTGCCTGTGGCTTTTTTTTACGCCCCCAATTCAAGTATATTTTATGATGGACTGTCTGTCCTTTATCTCACAAATCCCCACCCACAGCCATCAGGGTTATTCTCAAGGACTGACCCCTACACCCTACAACACTTTTCTTTGTGGATAAAGCTCTAGAAATAGCATTTCTGGGACAAAGGGGCCCTCCCTCCACAGCGTACCTGTGCAATCTGACTTTAGGGGTGACCTTGTCAGCGTTCCTGTTTCCCAGCAGTGCCTGCCTCACAAGGATGTTGGGGGGACCGTGGACCCTGGAAAGCACTCTGCCACAAACCATGGCCCCTGACCCCTCCAAACCTTGTCCCCAAGCTCTACTTGGACATGGCCCAGCTCCCACCCCTCTGCTTTTCCTCACATCTCCCCTGACCATCTCATCCCCTCCCTAAGCTCCCCCAAACCTCAGACATCCTGGATGACTGAGTTCCCAGAGAAAGCTGTGGGCTTGGGCAGCGGACCCTGCCCCTCCAGGCCTTGATTTCTTCCTCTGATGACTGCCGATGCACATGCACGGGGGTATCATGAGGACTGGAGGTGCCCTCCCTGTGGCTGTGGGACTGTGGGACTCTAGACCTCAGTCCATGAAATGGGGTAGCAGGCTGGCAGGGTTAAATGTATCCAGGACTGCTCTTAGAATTCAGAGGGACTGATCTTGTTCATGATCCTTCCATGTCCTGCCCTCCTGGGCCTCAATTTCCCCACCTGTGAAGCAGACTTTGTGTGAGGATCCCCAGAACCTGTCACAGTGCATCCTGCCCACCCCTCCCCCCACAAGCTTGAAGATGAGACCGCACCCACAAACTGCCCCCCTTCAATGGAGGGGCTGAGGCCAAGCGTCTGGCCAGAAAAGGGCTACATTGTAGAACCCCAAGTGGTTGGGAGATTGGGGGACGGTTAGTGCTGGGGTTGGAGCCAAACTCCCACACAGCTACTGCTCTGCCAGCTGTTCTGCTCCATTGTACAGATGGGGAAACTGAGGCACAGAAAGACAAGGAGCTAGTTCCAGGGTGTACAATGAGCTCTTCAAAGCCCTCTTTCAGTCACCATGCCAGCTTGAGCCTTAGTTTTCCCATCTGGGCACAGGCTGGCACTGTTTTGCAGCAGCAACAACTCTTCCAGCTTGTTATTGGGACTTAGAATTGGACTCCAGGGCCAGGAGTCAGTTCCTAATCCTGAACATCAAGTGTTGATGGTCCCAAGCTACCTGGCTGGCCTATCAGTGGGTGTGACTCTCCATCCTGCCCCCAGGATCCCCCATGCCTGTGGGCCTCCATTCAACCTTCAAGGCCCACCTCCCAGGTCCCCTCCTGCAGGAAGCCTGCCCTGTTCTCAGAGGCCTGGCTGCCTCTCTGGCTTCCTCAGGCCTGTCCCTGACCGCTGGGGGCTGGAGGCACATGTATCCAGCTATGGCTCACTGGGGCTGGGGGCTCCTCTATGGGCTTGCATCTTATCTTTATTATTATTATTTTTAGCTGAGCCATCCTGCCACCTGTTGGCAGCTCAGTGGCAGCTCAGCTCAGGCCGGGAATCGAACTGGCAACCCTGTTGCTCAAGCTCGCACTCTTGAGTGAGCTCTTAACCAACTGAGCCACTCGGCCGGCCCACATCTTGTCTTTAAATTTTCAACATTGAATAAATGTGATGAAAGGACAGTGAACAAGCACACTTAGTACAATGTCCGAAGTCCCTTTCTTACCCCCTGAAACCTGCTTTGGGATGGACAGGCCAACCCAGGCCAAAGCCCAGCTCAGGGCATGACAGCAGGTGACATGGAGCAAGCCCCAAGTCCTCTGGGACTGTCTCCTGTGTCCATAACATCAACTGATAAAGTATGACCTACCTTTAATTGAAAAGTCACTTTTCTACAGTATTTACATCACCATTTTAATATACTGCAGTGGACTATATAGAAACAGAAATGCAAACTCAAATATATAAATACATAGTCACAGATAAATTCTGGAAAACTCCATACCTGTCTATTAACAGGCTCCTTTGGGAAGTGGGCTGGGCTACGGGTGAAATTTTTACTGTTTGCCTCACACATTGCTGTGTGGTTTGACATCTTTGCTTGTGTGATTTTAGAATGGCAAAAAATTGTCTATGAAAACGTGGTTTTCATGATAAATTCATGAAAACTCAGCCATGGGTTTGCTTTGAGAATCAAAGGAGATGACAGGTGTCAACTTCGGAGTCCTTAGCACACACTATAAACTGACAAATCTTCTGATAGTCAATGGCCTCTCTGGATGCTAATCCTCGAATCCAGCAGAAGCTGGCCCATTTCCCAGTGGAGAAACTGAGGCCCCGGACAGTCTGACTCCAGACCCACACTTTAAAAGCCAGGATCTCCCATTGATCTCATCTGGTTTTGAAGCTCCCCGTATACACACACACTTGTGTGCACATGCATGCAACCCATGCAATGCATGTGTGTGCACATGCATGCACATGCACAGACATGCATGTGCAGGCACAAAGACATACAGGTACAAACATAAGTGTGTATACACATGCACACATGCACATATACATATGCATGCACACATACAAAAATACATGTGTGCACATGTAGGCTCAAAGACGTGCAGACACACATACACACCTACACATGCATACACACACTCATGCTTGTGCAGACATGCAAAGCCATGCACATACATGCATGCACATGCTCAAAGATACATATGTGCATGAGTAGGCTCAAAGACGTGCACACAGACATGCATGCACATACAGACATGCATGCACACACTGCACA